TTTCTGGTTCTTTCCGCCCCACATGTTCCTGTTGGGCAGAGTGACAGTACTGAGGGCGGGCGCGAGCAGGAAGGCGGGAGCGGCGCCTCGTGGGGGGAGAGATGGCGGCAGCAGCATGCGGCGGCGGCGGTGGCGCTGGCGGCAGCAGCGGCTGTGGCGGGCCCGTTTGTGCCTGACGCGGCATTGGCATACATCGTACGTAGAGTTGTTCGAGCGAAAGAGAGAATTAGTGTGAATGATGGCGACAGCAGCGCGCGGCAGCGGCTGCAGCGGGCCCATCTGTGCCCGACGCGGCATTGGCATACATTGTGCGTGGAATGCGAATGAGAGGCTCGAACTTTGGGGCCATGGGGTATGAGAGGTAATTCGAGAGAGCGTGAGGGTTGTTATGAGCAGTGGCAACAGCATCGCGCGCCAGCGGCTGTGGCGGTCTCCTTTGTGTCTGACGCGGCATTGGCGTACATCGTACGTGGAACGCGAACGAGGTGTTACATGCGCACCATGCACATGCGTACCTACCTGCATTACGGTTATCTCCCTATATCCGCCCTCCCTTTCAACACATCCTCCGTTCCGCCGTCCCTGTCTGCCCGTGCGTCCCAGGGAGGAGGTCCGTACGGTCGCGAGGTGACACGTGGCCAGGACCTGACGGGACGGGACTACAGCGGGCTGGACCTGCGGGGGCAGGACTTCAAAACGGTGGGTTGGTTTGATCTGGAAACCGCTCCGTTGACTTGCGTTGGCTCGCGTTGACTTGCATTGACTCGCGTTGACGTGCGCTGACGTGAGAGTGAAGGCGTGCGGTTGCGAGTCCTGTTTAGAATGAATGAGAGAAGCTGTCGCTTGATCTGTCTCTCTTACTGTTCTCTGGGCCTGGGCGTGGCCGCACTCGCCCAGCTCCCAGCCAACTTGTGCTAGTCTTTCTTAGTCTCAACCTCTCCAACAGTCTCAACCTCTCCAACAGTCTCAACCTCTCCAACAGTCTCCCTCTTTTAGTCTCGCCTTGTCGGCCAACCGTCCCATTTTGTGACCTCCCACCTCCCTTTCCCTCCCCCAATCCCCTTAACGCTTCGTTGTCCCTTACTCCCCTTATTCCCCTCCACGACCTGCCTCCATCCCCTTCATCCCCCCGTCTCCACCTCCCTCCACCACTCTGCACCCCCCACCACCCGTCCAATCCACAGTCTATTCTCCGCCAGGCGAATTTCGCCGGGGCGAATCTCATAGGGGCGTCTTTCTTCGACGCCGACCTCACAGGTACCACCTCCCCCTGCCCGTGCCGCCTCACAGGAACCACCTCCCCCTGCCCGTGCCGCCTCACAGGTACCACCTCCCCCTGCCCGTGCCGCCTCACAGGTACCACCTCCCCCTGCCCGTGCCGCCTCACAGGTACCACCTCCCCCTGCCCGTGCCGCCTCACAGGTACCACCTCCCCCTGCCCGTGTTGCCTCACAGGTACCACCTACCCCTGCCCGTCCCGCCTCACAGGTACCACCTACCCCTGCCCGTGCCGCCTCACAGGTACCACCTCCCCCTGCCCGTGCCGCCTCACAGGTACCACCAGTTCATCTCCCTCATCACTCTTGAGGGGACTTCACGCCATCCGTCTCAGTGCTCCCCGTCTCTCTCCCCCCACACACATCAGGGGCGGATTTCACGGGTGCCAATCTCACTGGCGCTGACTTCTCCCTCACCAGCGCTAACAAGGTGCGGACTCAAAAGCACCCAGCGCAAACAAGGTGCAGACTCAAAAGCACCCAGCGAAAACAAGGTGCGGACTCAAAAGCACCCAGTGCTAACAAGGTGCGGACTCAAAAGCACCCAGCGCAAACAAGGTGCGGACTCAAAAGCACCCAGTGCTAACAAGGTGCAACCTCAAAAGCACCCAGCGCAAACAAGGTGCGGACTCAAAAGCACCCAGCGCAAACAAGGTGCGGACTCAAAAGCACCCAGCGCAAACAAGGTGCGGAGCGGACTCAAAAGCACCCAGCGCAAACAAGGTGCGGACTCAAAAGCACCCAGCCCAAACAAGGCGCGGACTCTAAAGCAGCACAAACAAGGTGCGGACTCAAAAGCAGCACAAACAAGGTGTGCAACGACTCAAAAGCAGCACAAACAAGGTGTGGACTCAAAAGCAGCCAGCCCAGCCAAGTTGGGAAAAGGTGCGCTGGGTGGCGTCAAGGCGGCGTCACACCGGTCCTGACTCCTGACGCCCTTGCGACGTGATATATTTGTAGTTTTGAAACGTCTCAAAACTCCTGACGCCCTTGCGTCATTACCCTGTCTTTATTTTCCTTTGATAACCTTCTCTTGCTCGACCCTCCTCTTGCTCTCTTCCCCCCACCCCCCCCCTCACCCCTCTCCCTGCTGCAACCTGTCTTATCCCACGCCTGTCCTCGAGGCACCTCTTAAGCAAACCCTTTCCCACTTGCCCTCTTTGCCTTCCTGGCCTACCTTGCCTGCTTGGCCACTGCCAACTAACCACTAGCCCACTTGCTCCGCTGCTGCCACCCGCACTCACCTCCCTCTACATCAGGCCAGCTTCACCAACGCCATTCTGGAGGGCATCGCATTCCCGGCGTGGAGTCGTCTCGACTTGCTGCAACCAGCTCACCCCCATCCCCCACAACCCCATCCCTCCCCGCATCAGGCCAACTTCACCAACGCCATTCTGGAGGGCATCTCATTCACTGGCAACACGTCCTTCAAGGGCGCAATCATCACCGGCGCTGGTCAGTCATGCTCTTCCACCCACTCACTCACTGTATCGCTCACTTCCACCCTCACCCTCACCCTCACCCTCACCCTCACTCCCCTTCACCGGCAACACGTCCTTCAAAGGTGCTATCATCACCGGCACTGGTCAGTGCTCCACTCCCTCCCTCTAGCACTCACTCCCATTCACTCTCCTTCTCTTTTTGCCTCTCTCTCACTCGCCTTCACCCGTAATGCGTCCTTGAAGGGCGCCATTATCACCGGCACTGGTCAGTGCTGCATTCCCACCCACCCGCGCCCTCGCTCTCTCACTCTCTGCCTCTCCCTCACCCACTTCACTAGCCACGTGATAATACGTTGTATTTGAGGCGTCTCAAAGGCAACATTCGTATGACTTTTGAGAATTCTCAAAAGTCATACGTGTGTAGTTAGTCGATTTTTGAGTCGACTAAAAAAAGGCAACATTCGTATGACTTTTGAGAATTCTCACAAGTCATACGTGTGTAGTTAGTCGATTTTTGAGTCGACTCAAAAAAGGCAACATTCGTATGACTTTTGAGAATTCTCAAAAGTCATACGTTGTACTCGAGGCGTCTCAAAAGCAACATCCCCTTGAACAAATCTACCGTTGATGTCGCTGGGTCTCCTATCTCTGAGATTTGGGGTTGTTTTCGACAACAGATACGTAGTTGTGTGCATGTGCGTGTGTGTGGGGTGCATGTGCGTGTGTGTGGGGTGCATGTGCGTGTGTGTGGGGTGCATGTGCGTGTGTGTGGGGTGCATGTGCGTGTGTGTGGGGTGCATGTGCGTGTGTGTGGGGTGCATGTGCGTGTGGGGAATGTGCTTCGCTCACCACTCCATCCCCGTATTCATCCTCATCCCCATACCCATTCCCGTCCTCGTCCCCGCATCCATGCCAATGCCCGTGCCCATCCCGGTGCCCATCCGGTGCCCATCCCATGCACATCCCTGTCCTTGCCCTGTTCCCGTCCCTCTCCCTGCGTCCGTGCCCATCCCCGTGCCCATCCCCATGCCCATCCCCGTGCCCATGGCCCATGCAGACTTCACAGACGTGTACTTCCGAGCGGACCAGAAGGCATACCTGTGCAGAGCCGCTGAGGGGTGAGTTGGGGTGGGGAGGCCAATGCAGCAGGAGGAGGTAGGAGGAGCCATAGTTCTTGAGGGGTGTTGCAATTGTGTGCAGCAGATCACAAGGCGTACCTGTGTAAAGCCGCTGAGGGGTGAGGGGTGAGTGTGTGGTGTACATTCGTGTCCACCACACTGCGCCCCTCCGGAACCCCCTGGTTTTACCACTTGTGCCCTTCTCCGATAATTCAACACCACTTTTTTTTCTAGAGTTCTCAAAAACCTTCTCCGATGCTTCCACACCACGATTATTTTCGCCATTGCTACCCTCCCTCGCTGCTTCCACCACGTTTTCTGCTTTTTCTTCCGCAGCTTCCCCAACTTGTGAATTCATTTCGCCTTAACCCCATCTTACCCCTCCACCTTTCAAGCAGCACCAATCCTGTCACTGGCAACGACACCCGGGACACTCTGCTCTGCTAGGTGATCTACTTCAATAACTGTGCCGAGGCCCCTCGACTACTTCTCTAGAGACCTGTTTCTTGAAAGTTGCATCCCTTGGAGTAGCTGCTCCAGTTTTAGGTGTTTTCTCCAGTTTTCCGAGCAACTAGGATCACTTGACACTGGTCCCTGCAGGTGCTGCAACTGCTTTCCTGCCCTCCTTCGTCTGAGGTTTTGTGAAGACTGAACCACGTACAAGCCAAGTTCAAGCCAGGGTCATTGCATGTACAGTAAACAAACAGACTTGAACATGGCAAGGCAACTTCAATAAAACAGACTTGTAATCATACTGTCAACAAAATTTAACAGTGACAACTGCTGATGTACAGCAAACAAACTCCAACCAAAGAGTAGCATCAGCAAGAGAGTGTCTTGCTAATGCTAACCTCTTTTGGACAAGCATTAGCAAGAGTAGCACCAGAGCAACTAGAGCTTCAGTGACAAGCTGCGTGCGCAAACCTCCCACAGCAATTTGAAACCCCACCTGCCTTAGTGCCACTGCAACGGACCCTTCTGCGTTCAAATGGGATTCGCATGCATACATACCAGAGGAATGCATGTCTATGCTGCCACCACATGCCTATCCGTGCGATGAGAGTAGTACCGGTACCTGTGTCCTGTCGCATGCCTATCGGGCCATCGGGCAACCATTGACTCAATGATCCGTACCACTTGGAAGAGGAGCCATGCCTATCGCGTCACACTTGGAAGAGGAATCGGAGGTCCTCTGTGGTGAGGCGAGAGCGGTTGATCGCAGTGGCCGACTCACCATATGCACTCTCAATCATCGTGCGCTTGCGCTTCTGGTGTGGCAAGCAATGCAGAGAGAGAGAGAGAGAGAGAGAGAGAGAGAGAGAGAGAGAGAGAGAGAGAGAGAGAGAGAGAGAGAGAGAGAGAGAGAGAGAGAGAGAGAGAGAGAGAGAGAGAGAGAGAGAGAGAGAGAGAGAGAGAGAGAGAGAGAGAGAGAGAGAGAGAGAGAGAGAGAGAGAGAGAGATAGAGAGAGAGAGAGAGAGAGAGAGAGAGAGAGAGAGAGAGAGAGAGAGAGAGAGAGAGAGAGAGAGAGAGAGAGAGAGAGAGAGAGAGAGAGAGAGAGAGAGAGAGAGAGAGAGATAGAGAGACAGAGACAGGGAGCAACACAGGGGGGATGGAAGTAGCTGAGATGGATGAGTCCATTTGCACTCTCAATCATCGTGCACTTGCGCTCCTGTTGGAGTCAGTGGGATTACAGGCACATGGGTTGAGGGAAGGAAGGACGAGTTAACTTTTGAGATGTCTCAAAGGACGAGTTAACTTTTGAGACGTCTCAAAGGACGAGTTAACTTTTGAGACGTCTCAAAGGACGAGTTAACTTTTGAGATGTCTCAAAGGACGAGTTAACTTTTGAGACGTCTCAAAGGACGAGTTTACTTTTGAGACGTCTCAAAGGACGAGTTTACTTTTGAGACGTCTCAAAGGGCGAGTTTGCTTTTGAGACGTCTCAAAGGACGAGTTTACTTTTGAGACGTCTCAAAGGACGAGTTTGCTTTTGAGACGTCTCAAAGGACGAGTTTGCTTTTGAGACGTCTCAAAGGACGAGTTTGCTTTTGAGACGTCTCAAAGGGCGAGTTTGCAGCAGCACGAGCCACCACACGAGCCAAAGAGTGGTCGCTCCAGAGCAACGCACGATGCACGTGACACGCGCGAGCGACACGCACGAGGGGAGTCTGGCCAAGTGCTTACACCCAGTCAACCCCCCAGGCCCCAACCCCCCCAGGCTCCAAAACCTCCACACCCTGACCCACCTGCAGCTCCAGGATTCGGTCCTCGATGGTATCCGCCACGGTGAACCGCGCCACGCGCACGGGGCGAGTCTGGCCGATGCGGTGGGCGCGGTCGATGGCCTGGTCCTCCACTGCGGGGTTCCACCATAGGTCCATGAGGATCACGTGGTTCGCCGCTATCAGGTTCAGACCCAGGCTCGCGGCCTTCAAAGACACGAGGATGACAGTGATCTGATGGGGACAAGGGAAGGGACATGAGAAGGATCAGTGTGATGTGACGGGGTGCTGGGACAGGGGCACTGCACAGGACATTGACTACGAAGTGTGTTGGAACGTGGTCGATGGCCTGATCCTCCACTGCGGGGTTCCACCAGAGGTCCATGAGAATGACATGGTTTGCTGCTATCAAGTTCAGACCCAGACTCGTGGCCTTCAAAGTGACGAGGATCACAGTAATCTGATGGGGTGAAAGGAGGGGATCAGATGGGATGCAGGGGCGGGGTCAGACGAAGCAGTTAGGAGCTATAAAGGCGCGGCGCGGCCGATGGCCTGGTCCTCCACGGCGGGGTTCCACCAGAGGTCCATGAGAATCACGTGGTTCGCTGCTATCAGGTTCAGACCCAGGCTAGTGGCACCAGGATCCTGGTGATTTGATGGGGGAGGGACAGGAGGGAGAAAAGGATCACAAGGGGGAAGGGAGGGATTGTATGGGGGTGTTAGGGGATACAGTGCTTTCTTAAGGCGCATGGAAAGGGGATGGCCTGGTCCTCCACTGCGGAGTTCCACCATAGGTCCATGAGAATCACGTGGTTCGCTGCTATCAGGTTCGGACCCAGACTGGCTGCTTTGAGTGACACGAGGATCACCGTGATCTGATGGGGGGGAGAGAGACATAAGGAGGATCACTGTGATGTGACGGGATGCAGGGGCGAGGGTGTTAAGCTGCACAGGACATGTACTAAGGGGTGTGTTGGAGTGTGGTGCGATGCTTTCAGAGACACGAGGATCACTGTGATCTGATGGGGGGGAGAGAGACATGAGGAGGATCACTGTGATGTGACGGGATGCAGGGGCGAGGGTGTCAAGCTGCACAGGACATGTACTAAGGGGCTTAGTGGGAATATACAAGTATAGTGTATATACGCGTATCGTATATAGGCTAACGTATATACGCTAAACGCTAAAGGGTCGGCTTTGGGAATCCGCTTTTTCGGGCAGGAAAAAAAAATCCTGGGCAGGGTGAAAAACAATGTCGTGCTCAACATCGGGAAGGTATTCCATATTCTCACTAAGAATTTCGTAGCATTCTAAGTCTGATCTGAACTTCGATTAGAGTGGGATGTGTAGTAGACACTATCGCTAGAAGGAGAAGTAGGAATTGGGATGAGCTCCGTTGGGAAGCAGGAAATGTCGAGTGCGTGAGTGGGGTTTGTTGGGGAAACGTTTTTGACAGGTTGGAGTTCGTAGATGGGATGGATTTCAATGCGGTACTAATCAAAATTGTAGATCTGAACTGCCAGACGCGATTGTAAGGCACATTCCCGCTTCCCTACAACCCCGAATTGCACCTTGACTTCGGCGAAATGCTCACCAGGAGATTCCGCATCTTTCCGTATACACACGATTTTTTTCCCGGGCAGCCCCTAAAAAAACTGAAAGCGTATAGCGTATTAGCTAGCGTATAGCGTTTTGCGTATGAACGCAAGCGTATATACGCTATACGCTTTAGGTTCTGAGCGTATATTCCCACTAAGCTAAGGGGTGTGTTGGAGTGTGGTGCAATGCTTTCAGAGACACGAGGATCACTGTGATCTGATGGGGGGGAGAGAAAGGGACACGAGAAGGATCGCTGTGACGTGACGGGGTGCAGGGACGGGGGTGCTTGAGGAAAAACTAATTATAGGACTACACGGAGTGGTGAAAGCAGCGATGGCCCTGTCTCGGGCGGCCACGGACATGGTGCCATCGAGGCGCACGTGGGGGATGGCGGCAGCAGCGAGGTGCACCAGCCTTGGGATTACCACCTACCAGCCTTGGGAATACACGGACCTGTGGGTCTGAGGTGAAAGCAGCGATGGCCCTGTCTCGGGCGGCCACGGACATGGTGCCATCAAGGCGCACGTAAGAAATGGCAGCAGCGGTGAGGTGCAGCTCCAGCAGGTCCAGCATGCGCGTCCACTGTGAAAACACTATCGCCTTCTCCCGCACCATTGCTTGAGGGGGAGGGCCAGCACTCACTATCGCCTTCTCCCGCACCATTGCTTGAGGGGGAGGGCCAGCACTCACTATCGCCTTCTCCCGCACCATTGCTTGAGGGGGAGGGCCAGCACTCACTATCGCCTTCTCCCGCACCATCAAGGGAGGGGAAACATTCACCATTGCGCGCGTGCCAGCACTCACTATCGCCTTTCCCTTCTCCTCCGAGGGAGTATTTACTAGTGCTAGATCTCGCCCCACCTCCTCCCCTGCAATTGCTGATGCTTTCTCCTGTAGCACAGGCACCAGTGCTAGGTCAAGCTGTTTTGTTCTTGGCCTTTCTTGCTCCTCTGCTGTCTTGCCTGCTGTGCTTCCCACGGGAGTAGCCAACGCAGGGGCAGGTGGAGGAGGAGCGGGGCGGGGGAGATGGGCGGCGGCTGCAGGGGGTGCGAGGGGTGGAAGGTATGGAGAGAGAGTAGGAGAGGCATGGGGAGCTTGGGGCGCGTGGGACGAGTTTTGAGGCACCTCACGGGGAAATTGTGCAGAGGGTGTGGACGAGGCAAGTGGAGCATGGGGTGCAGAAGATGCAAGGATAGCAGGGGATGCAGCGGCAGCAGTGGGAGCGGGGGGTGCAGGGGCAAAAGATGGTGCATGGGTTGCAGGGGCAACAGATGGTGCATGGGGTGCAGGGGCGGCAGAGGGTGCATGGGGTGCAGGGGCGGCAGAGGGTGCATGGGGTGCAGGGGCGGCAGGGGGGGCAGGGGATACTGAAGGCGGCTGTGCCACATGCCGTAAGGCTGATGCGAGAGCGGCTGCTGAGATCTGGAACCTACGCGGACTGCCACACGCCCCTCTTGCTCCACATCCACTCCCATCACCACCTCCACTCCCACTACCACCTTCCACAGAACCTTCCTGGCACCCCTTTTCCATCCCAGCTGCTTGCCAAGACCCCGCCTCTCCCGCCTCTCCCACTTGCCCTATCAGCCCTGCCTGCCAAATCTGCCCTGCGTGGCCTGCCTGCCCCATCAGCCCAACCAGCCTGGCTGTGTTTTCCTCACTCAACCCCACCCCCACCTCCACCCCCACCTCCACCCCCACCCCCTCCTGTGCCTCCTGCTTCTCCGCCTTCACTACCCCCCCAGCGACATCAGCCCCCACAGCCCTCATCAGGGGAACAACTCTTGCACCCGCGGCCCCTTGCTCCCCTTGCTCTTCCCTCTTGAATGTGGCATGACCTGCTGCAGCAGGTGTAGAGTCAGGTGCAACAGATGCTGCAGCAGGTGCAACAGATGCTGCAGCAGGTGCAGAACCAGGTGCAGCGGCGGATGCTGAAGCAATTGCAGGTTTAACATCAGGCACGTCAGGTGTAGAACCAGGTGCAGCAGAAGCTAAAGCAAGGAGAGCAGGTTTTACATCCGGGACGTCAGGTGTTGAGTCAGGTGCATCAGGTAGTGGACCAGGTGGTAGTAGTAGGTCAGGTGCCCGCCCACCTGATGGACCAAACACCCCTGCATCCCCATCCCCACCACTCTCAACCACTTCTGCTTTCACTGCACCTCCTGTCACACGCACAGGTGGTAGGTCAGGTACCCACCCACCAGATGCCCCTTCCCCGGGTGCTCCCTCCCCAGGTGCCCCTTCCCCAGGTGCTCCCTCCCCAGGTGCCCCTTCCCCAGGTGCTCCCTCCCCAGGTGCCCCTTCCCCAGGTGCTCCCTCCCCAGGTGCCCCTTCCCCAGGTGCTCCCTCCCCAGGTGCCCCTTCCCCAGGTGCTCCCTCCCCAGGTGCCCCTTCCCCAGGTGTCCCTTCCCCAGGTGCCCCTTCCCCAGGTGCCCCAGCTGCCCCTGTCGGCCCCAAATCTTCCTCCTCCAGAACAGCGGTCGCAGCAATCTCTGCCCACAGACCCGCCATCCACTGCGCCTCCTCTGGCTCTTGCTTCTGCGCCTGCACATGCTGTTGCTGCTGCTGCTGCTGCTGCTGTTGTTGCTGCTGCTGCTGTTGCTGCTGCTGCTGCTGCTGTTGTTGCTGCTGCTGCTGCTGCTGCTGCTGCTGCTGCTGCTGCTGCTGCTGCTGCTGCTGCTGCTGCTGCTGCTGCTGTTGCTGTTGCTGATGCTGCTGCTGCTGTTGCTGCTGTTGCTGCTGTTGCTGTTGTTGTTGTTGCTGTTGCTGTTGCTGTTGCTGTTGCTGTTGCTGTTGCTGCTGTTGCTGCTGTTGCTGTTGCTGTTGCTGTTGCTGTTGCTGCTGCTGTTGCTGCTGCTGTTGTTGTTGCTGCTGCTGCTGCTGCTGCCCACTCTTCCCTTCTCCCTGCTGCAACAATCCCTCATCACCTCCCCCATCACCTCCCCCATCGCATGCTTCCTGCTTTACCCCTCCCAGCCCCCCAACCCCACCAGAATTCCCATCTGCACCTGTTGAACCCACGTCATGTCTCGTTACACTGTCCCCTGCACCCCCTCCCACTGCCCCACCTCTCACCCCTCCTTGCTCCTCTTCTTTCACCCATCCGCCAGGTGCCACAGAGAGAGGGGTAGAGGAGGGAAGGGAGATGGGAGGAGTGGAAGCGGGAGGTGTGGAGGTGGGAGGTGGAGGCGGAGGAGTGGAAATGAATGAATTGGAGGTGGGAGGGGTACTTGCGGGAACAGGGCCAGAGACAGTACGTGCACTGGGTGGGTGCATGGTGGGGTGCGATGGCGGGAGGGAGGAGGGACGGGAGGATGGGAGAGCGGTGGGACTGGAGCAGGGAAAGGAAGAGGGAAAGGAGGAGGGAAAGGAGGATGGGAGAGAGGAGGGAAGTGAGGAGGTGGGAAGAGTAGCAGCAGCAGGAGGAGCAGCAGACGAAGGAGGAGGAGCAGCAGGGAGCATGAGAGGGAGGGCAGCAGCAGCAGCAGCAGCAGCAGCAGCAGCAGCAGCAGCAGCAGCAGCAGCAGCAGCAGGGAGCATGAGAGGGAGGGCAGCAGCAGCAGCAGCAGCAGCAGCAGCAGCAGGGCCAGCGGAAGGAGGGGGAAGAGCGGGCATGAGAGGGAGCGCGAGGAGGTAGTTGAGGACAGCACGAGCCTTGGTGGACATGCGAGAGGGGGAGAAGAACACCAGATCATTTCCAGCCTCCAGCTGCTGCTGCTGCTGCCCTCCCCTCCTGTCTGCCAGTGAAGTTGCTGCTAACGTGCCTGCTGCTGCTCCCATCCCCATCCCACCCCCAGCACCACCCATCACCACCCCTCCCGCACCCATCCCACCGCTCCCTACACCTTCCAGCTCAGAAAACAGGCAGAGCGATGCAGGCGAGAGGGGTTTGGAGCAGCAGGGGCAAACGGCAGCATCACACTGAGCGAGATACTGAAGGGCACACTGCTCACAGAAGGTGTGCAGGCACACAGACAGCACCGGCACCTCTGCTGCATCCCCGCACAACTCACACACTGCCTCCCCCCCCACCTGCGCCACATGCCGCACTAACTCTGCGCGCTTCCCCACTGCTAGCCTCCCCACCGAACCAGCAAACACACTCCGCCGCCCACCCGCCCCACCACTTCCCCCTCCGCCAACCCCGTTTCTCCCCCGTGCTGCTGCTGCTGCTCCTCCTCCTGCTGCAATGCCTCTGGTTCGGCTGTCTGGCGCGATGGGCGAGCCCTTGGCGAGGGCGGGGTGGTTGCAGGCCTGGCGCAGGCGCAGCAGCATGGTGAGTATGTGCATGTAGTTGTTTTGTACCGTGCCCGCTGCTGCATAGTCCTGGTGAGAAGAGAAGGGGGGAGAAGGGAGGAAGGACAGAGAGATAGTTGAGGGGATGAGCAGAGGGAAGGCACAGCAGCATGGTGAGAATGTGCATGTAGTTGTTCTGCACCGTGCCCGCTGCCGTGTAGTCCTGGTGGGATGAGAAGAACGAAAGAGAGAAAAGGAAAGGAGGGTGGGAATGAGAGCAGGCGCAGCAGCATCGTGAGAATGTGCATGTAATTGTTTTGCACCGTGCCCTGCCACGCAGTCCTGATGGGGGCGAGGAGACGGAGGATGAGGTGGAAGGAACAAGGTGAAGTGAATCTAGTGAGGGCAGGAAGCAAAGCAGTGCCGCAGGACTATAGTTGCCTGCCGAGGCGTGGATATGTTTAGGAACTGGGAGACGCGGCGTGGTGCAGTGTAGAACAGGACTCACGTGGAAGGAACTGGCAGTGAAAAGGTAGACGGCCCTTTCCTGTGGTGTGAATCTGCTTTTGAGTCGACTCAAAGGTGAACTCTGTATGTAAAGTACGTGTAAATGTACTATTAAGAGCAAACATGTCTTCACTCACGTGGAACTGGCGCTTGGAGGAGGCCTCGAGGGAGAAATAGAAGGCCCTCTCCTCTGGTGTGAACTCCGCTCGCTGCAGCGCCACTATGCGCGGGGGCAGGTTCACAATGGGCGCGCCCTTGATGCGCGTGGCTGGTGGGAGGGGAAAGAGGGAGAAAAGGTGGGGGGAGAAAAGGTGGGGGGAGAAAAGGTGGGGGGAGAAAAAGGTGGGGGGAGAAAAAGGTGGGGGGAGAAAAAGGTGGGGGGAGAAAAAGGTGGGGGGAGAAAAAGGTGGGGGGAGAAAAAGGTGGGGGGAGAAAAAGGTGGGGGAGAAAAAGGTGGGGGGAGAAAAAGGTGGGGGAGAAAAAGGAATGGGGCTTGCCATTGCGACTATGAGTGGTGGGTTGCGCGTGATGGGGTCGCGTGATGGGGTCGCGTAGCAAGGATGCATACTCGTGTGACAGCATAGCAAGGACTCACGGACCCACCCTTGGTACGACGCAGCAAGTGCTCAGAATTACGCTGTCTTTTTCCAACTTGCTCAAGCCTGACCCTAAGCACCGCTGCTCACTAGAAAATGTCCAAAGAAGGATGCATAGTCGTGTGACTGACAGCATAGCAAGGACTCAGGGACTCACCCTTGGTACGACGAAGCATCACAGCCAGCAGTACCGCCTGCAGCCTCTTGAAGCCCTGGGTGGGGTTGCGAGTGATGGGGTCCTTGATGGTGTTGCGGAAGGATGCATACTCGTCGTACGGGGAGAAGCGCAGGAAGCGCAGGTAGGAATACACGTCGTCCACCGCGTTCTGCATGGGCGTGCCGGACAGGCACCACCGCTTCTTGGCCCTTAGAGCCCAACACGCCCTTGCCACCTGGGGGAGGGGGGGAAGTCAACCAGGAAGAACAAGAAAGCGCAGGAAGCGCAGGTAGGAAAACACATCGTCCACCACGTTCTGCATGGGCGTACCCAACCCGACAGGCAGGCACCACCGCTTCTTGGTAGCACGCCCTGGCCACCTGAAGGTGGGTGCAGTGGGGAGGGGAAGGAGAGAGGTTTCGAGACGTCTCGAAACGGACTTGCGTGTAATGCACTTCTGTTTAGAATCTAAAAACGTCTTCACACTTGCGTGTTGCGGTTTCTGTTGCGGTTTGCCCCCACCTGAGTGTTGCGGTTCTTGATGGCCTGTGCCTCGTCCAGCACCACTCGCAGCCACGCCACCCCCGCTAGCGGACCACCCCCACTGCTCCCTCCTCCCTCACTACCACCTGCCTTCCTCTTCCCCCCCACCCCGCCCCCACCAATCCCCAGCAACTCTTCCCACGAGGGCTCTTTCCCTTTGCCTTTCCCCCCCTCGCCGCCATCACTCCCTCTCCCTGTCCCCATGTCCATAGCAGCGATGGCATACGTGGTCAGCACCACGTCGTATGATGCCACCTCCGCTGCACTCCGCGTGCGCCCCGGCCCGTGATACACCAGCACTGACAACCCTCTTCCTCCTCTTCCTCCTCCTCCTCCTCCTCCTCCCCCTCTCCCCCCCGCCCCGCCTCCTCCTCCTCCTCCTGCGTTTCCTCCTCCTCTCCTCCCTCCTGCTCCCTCTCCTCCAATCGTCAACCCTTCATCTCCCCCACCAGCCCCACCAGCAGCGGCAGTGCCTGCTGCTTCCCCCAGGTCGCCCACGCGCTCTCGAATCTCCCGCTCCCACTGCCGCAGGATGCTTGTGGGGCACACCACCAGCGTGCCGCCACTCACACGCTTGCCCTTGCCACCACCTGTACCGCCTGCTGCTGACGTGGCAGCTGCTGAGGTGGCGGCTGCCGAAACGCCAGGTGGCGTTGCCGTCCCGGCCACTGCCGGCATAGGAGCTGCTAGACGTTGTTTCTTCCCGCCCCGCCTCCCCCGCGCCCTCTCCCCCTCTTCTTCCTCCTCCAAATCAACCACTTCCATCTTGCTGCTGTTCCGCACTCCCACTCCTCCTCCTGCTGTTGCTACAGGCACTGCAGCAGCAGCTGCACCAGCAGTAGCACCACCACTACCACTACCACCACTGGTACCAGCGCCAGCTGCACCAGCACCAGAAGGACCTGCACCAGAAGAACCAGCATCACCTGCACCGGCACCACCCGTCAACAGCAGCATATTCCCCTCCTCCTTAACAACCCCCTTCCCCTTCTCCCTCTCCTTTCTCTCCCTCTCCCTGCCCTCCCACACGCCCAGCACAATGAGCGCAATCGTGGTCAGCGTCTTCCCCAACCCCTGATCATCCGCCAGTATCCCCCCAGCAGGGATTGACGCCTCTCTACATCTCATCCACGCCACTGCCATGCGTTGGTGGGTCAGCAGCGGCACCCTTAAAGCCCCTGTTGGCATGTCTACCTCCTGTGCTGTCCCTGAGAGGGAGAGGCCTTCCAGGATTTGCCGCATTGCGGTTTGCTGGTCTGGAGGGGGGTTGAAAGGGGTTGGAGAGGGTGCTTGGGGATACAGGTGCGGGTGGTGGTGATGGTGGTGGTGGTGGCTGTGGTGGTGGCTGTGGTGGTGGCTGTGGTGGTGGGTGGGATGCGGATGGGTGTGACTCGGTGGGACGTGGTTGTGTGCGGTTTCGGCATCCACTCGTATCCTCTTGGCAACTTGTTCTCCCTCCCTGCCTGTGTCCGTGCGCCCACCACCACTGCTCCCCATACCTCGGATGCTTGCCGGCAGCGGCCTAAACTGCGGCAACCCAACTGATGGTGAACTGTCCACTGTAATAAACGGAGCTAGACCAGGTTCTATGTGTAATGTGCTTGTGTGTGGGTCTATGCTATAGGCCGTGCCAGCTGTGCCAGCTGTGCGTGCTGCGTGTGCTGCGTGTGCTGCGTGTGCTGCGTGTGCTGTGTGTGCTGCGGGTGCTGTGACTGCTGTACGCGGCGTGTGTGCTTGCCGTGCCACATGATGACTCCGCTCAGCCTGTGGTAACCGTTGCACTTCAGGTAAGCGCTGCACCAGCCCCTCGTCCCGCATGCTCCTGAAGTGTCGCAGCACGTCAGCCGCACTCCTCCTCCGCGCCTCCACAAACTCTCGCCGCTCCTCCTCCCTATCCACCCCTCGCCCTCCCATCCCAACCCCAAACCACTGCCGCGCATTCCCGCCTGCACTTTCCCTCCCTCTCCTCCTCCCACTCCCACCGCCTTCCCTCTCTCTCCCCTCTCCGTCCTCTTCCTCCTCCTCCTCCTCATCATCCCCTTGGTCTCGGAGCAGCACGCGCTCTCCGAACCTGTCTCTCACCTCCTGCTCCAGCAGCAGCTGTTGCCTCGCCTCCTGCTGCTGCCGCTGCCCCTGCAAAACCCCTTGCTGCAGCTGCTGTTGCTGCTGGTTATTCTGCTGCTGCTGCTGCTGCTGCTGCTGCTGCTGCTGCTGCTGCTGCTGCTGCCGCTGCTGCTGGTGGTTACTCTGCTGCTGATTACGCTGCTGCTGTCCAACGCTCGCCCGGCCTCTCTCACCTTCGTCCCGCTGATCCCTCTGCCTCGGCGGTGACGCAAGAACAGCCTTCAGCTGCCCCAGCTGCTTCCACTGCTGCCTCACTTCATCGCCCACCTTATCATCCTCATCATCACTAGCCATACTGATCACACTCACCACACTACTCTCACTCCCCTCACTCCCCTCTCTCCCTACCCCTTCAGCCACACCCCTCCCCTCCCTGCCCTCCCTCCTCCCATCACCAGCGCCTATTCCCAATCCTGTACCTATCCCCACGCCACTCCCCAATCCCTGTGCCATGTTTCCATTCATGCCGCCCGCCGTGCCGCCCAGAGCGCCACCTGGCATACCGCTCACCGTGCCCTCCGCCGTGCTGCCCAGTACGCCGCTCGGCACGCTGCCCAACATGCTGCCGCCCGGAACGCCGCCCAGAACGCCGCCCGGCGTGCCGCCCCCCATGGAGCGCATCATCTGTCTCTGCGCGGTTCTGAGCCTGGCCTGCAGCATGGCCTCCTCTACCTCCCGCCCACTCAACTCCACCACGTCCTCATCCTCGTTACTGCGCACCCCGTTACTCGCACCACCGCCAGCCCTCCTGTTGGCGGTACCGCAACCCCTCTCAGCGTTGCTCCATAGGCTGTTCCCACTGCCTCTGCCACTCCCCAACTGTCCCTGCTGCTGCCCCTGCTGCCCCTGCTGCTGCTGCTGCTGCTGCTGCTGCTGTTGCCACAGAAGGGGCTGCAACTGCTGTTCTGCGTACTCCTTCTCACTGCCATCACTATCACTCGCATCAACCTCATCGTCGCTCAACCACACCACGTCCATCTCATCCTCTTGAGGCTCTGCACTTGCCTCTTGCGCCTCTGCACTTGCACTCCCGCCTGTCACGCCTGCCCCGCCAACACCAGTAGCACCTGCTGCCTTTTCACTCGACTCCAAAGCCCCACCAGCACCTGCTGCCTTTTCAGTCAACTCCAAAGCCCCACCAGCACCTGCTGGCGCCTTTTCACTCGACTCTGAAGGACCACCAGCCTCTACTGCTGCACCTCCAGCGCCAGTGGCGTTGGCAGTGGCGGTGGTGGTGGCAGGGGAGGCGTTGGTGTTGGCGCCAGGGCTCGTGGGAGCAGCAGCAGTGGCAGCATCAGCAGCATCAGAAGCAGACGCAGCACCAGCAGCACCAGCAAAAGGTGCAGCAGCAGTGGCAGCGTCAGCAGCAGCAGAAGCAGCAGGAGCAGCATCAGCAGGTGCAGCAGATGCAGCATGGGAAGTAGCAGCAGAAGCATCAGCAGCAGAGGCAGAATGTGTTTCAGCATCGCTTGAGTGCGTCAACTGAGCCTCCTTATCGCCATTCGTACCCAGCCAGCCATCCAAGTCCACGCCGCCATCCATCGCCGTGTCTCCACCATCCACCCCAATTGCTGTAACGCTTTCACCATGCGCCGAGCCCACACCATTCCCATGCATGTGTGGCGCATCCTTGTCTCCCCCCATCTCACTCTCATTGTCACTGTCACTTCCACTTTCAATCTCACTTTCCCTCTCCCTCTCCCTCTCCCTCTCCCTCTCCCTCTCCCTCTCCCTCTCCCTCTCACTCTCACTCTCACTCGCCTGTCCCGCTTCGGCTGCAGCAGCACCAGCATCTGCACCCATGACGTCAGCCATTGCAGAATTACCACCGCCAGGTAACCCTATTCTATCACTGTCTGGTAACCCAATATTTGCACTGTCTGGTAACCCTATATCAGCACCATCTGGTAACACCGTACTACCACCGTTTATATCAACAGCATCGGATAACCCTATATCGGCACTGTCGGATAACCCTGTGTCAACACCGTCGGATAACCCTGCATCAAAAGCGTCGATAAACACTATATTAGCACCGTCGGGTAACCCTATATTAACACCGTTAGGTAACTCTGAATTAACACGGTCGGGTAACCCTATGTCAACAGAGTGCGGTAACCCTCCAGGAACACGGGCATTCCCCGCTACATCCGTACTTCCTGTTCCACGGCTGGTTATTTTACTGCCTTCCCTTACACCCTCCTCCCTCTCCTCCTCGCTTCTCACACCACGACAATCGCCACCGTTTATTTGACCCGCCTTCTCACCATCAACGGTCGCGATGTTCTGAAGATCGACATCGGCGTCATCGTTAATTCTCTCCTCAATGCTACACTCCTGATTTCCACGGAAGAAATTGCCGACATTAGTAAGTCCGACATCCCCGTTGAAAGGAAACTCGTTATTGACACTGGCAATTTCCTGAATTTTACTCTTTTCTGCGCCATCAATTGTACCGACATCCAAACCAAGTGACGTGTTACGCGGGGACGCAGTGGTGACATGGTGTGCTGACGTGGATGGCATGGTCCTGCTAGAGCATGCGGTTCGTGCGTGAGCTATAAGGTGCAACAGCGACGCCTGTGCTATGGGGGTGCGATTAGTTCAGGATTTTTATTTTCGTAAGGCATCGTGGTCCCATGGTGTAGTGGTCATCACGTTTGCTTTACACGCAAAAGGTCACGAGTTCGAAACTCGTTGGGGCCAGGGTTTTGCCAATTGCACTTTTCAGAGTCCCTCCTCGCCACCCGCAGGGTTTACCAGAAGAGTGGAAGTCGCTTTTGGGATGGGAATCCCCAACAAGCAACGCCCGACACAAACCTCGTTTCGTTTTTCTATTCGCTGACCTTCAGGAGCCGACCTTTGTTCCTATCAGTTGAGGGAAGATCGTGAACATTGTTTCTATGGACGGCCCATCATCGGATCTCTTTTCCACTGAGTCAAATCCGTTCGATCGGCTTCCGCAAGAGATCCTCGCCGTCATCTTGCGCCACGTGGCACCATCCGGCACGTCTTTTCAGCACGCCTTGGTGTGCAAGCGATGGCATCGCGCCGCGTGCCTCGCACAGTCATCAGTCCACGTGGCGAAATCTCGAGCCATCTCCTCGCCGCGCCTCCTCCTCGCGCTCTCCCGTTTTCCCCGCCTCACCCACCTCCATATCGATCGAGACGGAGTCGATTTCTTAGACGACGGTTTCCTGACAATTCTCGCTAAAAGTGCTTGTAACGGGTGTGACATTAACGACGACGAGGCGGAGGATGCGGAGGAGGAGGAAAATCACGAAAAGGGGTTGGGAGTCATTGGCGCTGGGCAGAATTAAGGACTGAACGGCTCTGCCAATAGTAGAACGGGCGGCAATAGCTGTATAGTGGACGGCACTGGCGGTGGACTGGGCGGCACTGGTGATACAGAGGCCTGCAGTGATGGTATGGCACACGGCATCAGGTCGTCATTAGAAAGAACGAGCATCGCCAGCACCCGCACAGCAGCACAACCTCCTCTCGCGTCCGCGCTCCCAGCTCCGCATATCCAGCCGCGCACCTCCCCTCTCCGGGCTCTCTTTCTCGCGGAGGACCCTCGCTCCCCTCCGCGCATCACAGCAGCAGGCCTGGACTCCCTCTTCCTCTACTGCCGCCTCTTACGCGCCCTCTCTCTGCACTGCGGCCGTGCAATCACCGCCCTCCCGCCCTCTCTAGTCACACTGCCTGCACTCACTTCTCTAGATATTGCCATGCCCTGCCTAGGCTGCCTGCCGGATGCTTTTGGCTCCCTGACCGCCTTGAGAGTTCTTAGGCTGGAAAGCCCCAGTCTTAGCTCTCTGCCCGAGAGCCTCGGGCAGCTGAAATTACTGGAAGAGCTTACTCTCCGGTGCTTGTCTGCCCGAAACCTTCCTGATTGGATCGGGCAGGTTAGCAGCCTCACCTGCCTGGACATCGAAAGCTGTTCTTTTCGGCAGCTGCCCGAGTCTCTGGGCAGCCTTCATTCCTTAACCTCACTTCGCCTATCATCTCTTGATTTCGACTCCTTGCCAGAATCCATTGGCCAGCTTTCCGCCTTGAAACGTTTCATCTTGGAAAAAATGCCTGTGACAAGTCTGCCCGAGCTTTTTGGGCGCCTGGAAAACCTTTCTGTGCTCCAATTGAACGACTGTGATTCCCTCCTCTCCCTGCCGAACTCCCTTTTCACCCTGCCTTCCCTTTCCACCCTTTTCATTGGCTGCTGGGCCCTCCCCGCACTACCAGACAATATCTCCCACCTGTCAGTTTTGGAACATTTAGAGCTGAACGCCTGTGAGGGCCTCACCTCCCTTCCAGAATCTCTGTCCGAGCTGCCCGCTCTAAAACACCTAGAAATCTCCGGCTGCCCGTGTCTAAAATCCCTACCAGCGTCCCTTAACCAGCTGAAGCACCTAACCTCCCTGGAAATACACAATTGCGACTCGCTCTCGCTCCTCCCCCCATCGCTCCCTCTCCTCCCTTCTCTCTCACGCCTTGTGATTGTCGGATGCTCCCATTTGAGAGAGCTTCCGGGGAACCTGGGCCAACTGAGGAGTCTAAGGGTGCTGGAGCTGGGCTTGTGCAAGAGCCTAAGGAGCCTGCCAGATTCGATTACGGAATTGGGTCGGTTGGAAAGAGTTGTGGTGCTTGGTTGCAGGAGGCTGGAAAGCGTGCCTGAAGGGATTGCAGAGATGCCGAGCGTGCAAGAGGTGGTGTTTAGGGAATGTGATGCTCTTGTGTGAAAAGCGGCCTTTTCTTGTGTTTTTAGGATACCACCTTAGAGCTGAGACACGAGAATTCTGCATGAGGACCTTGTGCAGATGGCGCAGTTGCAAGAGGTGGTGCTCAGAGAGTGGTTCTCATGTGTGAAGAGATTGTTTGAGATGGCTTTTGAGTCACCTGTAGGTTGATACTGCAAGGGAGCGATGCTCTTGGGTTGTGTGGTGTGATTGGAAGGGTTGGAATTCGAGTAGTGATTTTTAAAGCTTGCATCTCATATTTCCTACCGTTTAACACTTGGTTGGGTTTGCCCGTCTGTGATTGGGTGGTAACAGAAGACGAAATATTTGACGAGTGTGTGAAAAAAAGCACAGCGAACTCCCAACAGTCGATGCCAAAACAAACCAGGGTGGTTTGGTTTGGGTGGAAAACGAGCCAAGGGGGACAGGTATGGTCCCGGTTTCTGTCAACGTTGAGTTCAATGTCTCATATTTTCGAGAGTTGTAAATGCTTGGTGTGCACGGGGAAGTGTGCGATAGCCAACTTTCCCAAACCACCCCTTGCTTTAGTGTGATTTGCGACAAACTTTGGTGTTACCGGATTCCAACCGTTTAACACTTGGTTGGATGGCAGAAATATGAGACGCGAGCTTTAATGCCAAGGCAGTGTGACATGGTAGCAACTAGATCACACGTAGGTAGGGCTCTGTTTCGTGGTTGTTTTGATAATGTATCATGTGGTGGGGTCTTGTTACAATGTTTGCCACATTGGGAGCTTGCTTATGGAATGGAGTGCCCCTGTATGTGTAATGTTTCCATACCATTCTTGTGAATCTCCTAACCATGGAAATGCACTACAATGTTATGCTAACAATATTGCCTGCTGTCTCTGTACACCGACAGCGAGTGTACATAAAAAACCGGATAGGGAGCAGCCTATATTGTGCACGGAATATCTCAGCGGAAACGGGTCGTCAAGCCTGACGACCCTCTGACGACTTGACGACATGCTGCCCCGGGCAGAAAAAAACTAAAACCCCATCGGATGGCATGCCATCCGAGGGAGCCTCAACCCTAAACACCATGCCTCCAGGCGTTTAGGGTTGAGGCTCCCTGACCGGATGCATGCCCGTCTGGGGTTTATTTTTTTTGCCCGCGGGCAGCGAGCTCCCCCGGGCGGACTCGCTTGTCCGCTGAGATATGTTCGGCGGGTCAACTCAGCTGCAGCGCAGGAATGCCATTTCCAGTGCAATCCAACCGAATTATTTCCCGCCAATCATCGCGGTGACCGTTGCAACCGCTGTTGAATTCTTTCACAAGTGACCAACACCTCGAACCCTTTTCATTCGACTTCCTGCCTTCCGAAAACAACTTTATTCGTTTCTCGAGGCAAGATCATGGACGTAGTTTTTGTGCACGACCCAGTACCGTCAGATCGCTTGAATCCCAAGAGAGCTCCGTTCGATCGGCTTCCTCAAGAGATCCTCGCCGTCATCTTGCGCCACGTGGCGTCATCCGGCAGGTCCTTTCAGCACGCCTTGGTGTGTAAGCGATGGCATCGCGCGGCGTGCCTCGCGCAGTCATCAGTCCACTTGAAACATTTTCAATCCGTCTCCTCTTCGCGCCTCCTCCTCGCGCTCTCCCGCTTTCCCCGCCTCACCCACCTCCATATCGACCAAAACGGAGTAGACTCCTTAGACGACGAATTCCTGACAAGACTCGCTGAAGGTGCTTGTAACGCGTATGACAATCGCGAGGAGAGCGGATTTTCACCATATAATGAGGACGAGACTAAGGAAACGGAGGAAGGGGTGGAGGAGGAGGAGAGTCACGAAGAGCGATTTGGAGCCATTGGCGCTGGGCGGAGCTTAGGACTGGACGGCACTGGTAGTAATAGAGTGGGCGGCACTGGTGGTGCAGTGGGCGGAATCAGCTCGTCACAGGAAAGAACGACCATCGCTGGAAAGGTCATTCGCCACACAACCGCAAGCCCTGCAGCCACATCTGCGCTCCTACTGGCAGCCGCCGTACCACGCTCCTCACTCCCTCCCGAATCTCCTTCGCTGCTCCCAACTCCCCATCCTCCTCACTCCCGCCAGTCCCCCCGCCCTCCGCAGCACACCCAGCCGCGCACCTCCCCTCTGCGCTCTCTCTACCTCGCGGAGGGCAATCGCTCCTGGCAGCGCATCACAGCAGCGGGTCTAAACTCCCTTTTCCTCCACTGTCGCCTGTTGCGATCGCTCTTTCTGCACTCACATCCTCTCAGCTTTGAAGTCACTGCCCTCCCCCCCTCTATAGTCACACTGCGTGCTCTCACATCCCTGGAGATTGTCATTTCCTGCCTTACGAGCCTGCCGGATGATTTCGGCTCACTTACCGCCTTGAAAGTGCTTCGGCTGGAAAGCTCCAGTCTTAGTTCTCTGCCCGACAGTCTCGGGCAGCTTAGCTGTCTCACCTGCCTCACCATCGAAAGCTGTTCTTTGCAGCACCTGCCCGAGTCTCTGGGCAACCTTCGTTCCTTAACCTCTCTTCGCCTCTCGAACAACTGCGATGCCCTCCTCTCGCTGCCAGACTCCCTCTTCACCCTGCCTTCCCTATCCTTCCTTCTCATTGGCTGCCGTGGCCTGCCCGCACTACCAGCCAAAATCTCCCACTTTTCCGTTTTGGAACATCTGGAGCTGAGTTCTTGTGAGAGGATCACCTTCCTTCCAGAATCATTATGCCAGCTGCCCTCTCTAAATGACCTCAAAATCACACATTGCACTCGCCTGCAATCCCTCCCAGCATCACTCGGCCAGCTGAAACACCTCTCGTCTCTAGAAATCATCAGGTGCGTCTCTCTCTCGCTCCTCCCACCACCGCTCCCTCTTCTTCCGTCCCTCTCGCGCCTGGTAATTATCGGTTGCGAGCTTCTAAGGGAGCTTCCTGAGAACCTAGGCACACTGAAGAACCTGCGATTTCTGAACTTAGGGATGTGCGGGAGCCTGAGGAGTTGCCAGAGTCGATTACGAAGCTGGATCAATTGGAACAAGTGGTGGTGATTGGGTGCAGTCAGATTGAGAGCGTGCCGGAGGGGCTTAGAGAGATGGTAGGGCTGCATAGAGTAGGCATTTGAGTCGTCCCAAAAGCCGGAGGAGTTGCCAAAGGCGATAAAGGAAATAGCTCGATGGGTTCGAAAGGGTGGTGCTGCTTGGGGTGGAGTGGCGGAGGCTTGAGATAGTGGAAATGGTGGTGTTCCGCTCCGTGGTTGTGATGTGCTTGTTTGTGATTCTTGATGCAGTTACTACCCTATTGAAGCTTGCTGAAGACGGTGCTGCAAGTACCGTGTCTTACATCCTTGTAGGATGTGTTTGGAGGGGTTAGAGTGCTGTCGTTGGATAGAGTTCGTGTGTCCGACATGATCGAACCCTGTGCTGCTTGTTGTGACAGATTGAATGTCATCACATGACAGATTGAGTGTCATCACATGACAGATTGAATGTCATCACATGACAGATTGAATGTCATCACATGACAGATTGAATGTCATCACATGACAGATTGAATGTCATCACATGACAGATTGGATGTCATCACATGAAAGATTGAATGTCATCATCGCATGGTTCATGGCAGAAAATGCCTGCACAAATACCATAGGACTGTTATGACTCAACCCTTCTTATGAATCAACCACGCACGTGTGCATCATCAGAATGCCATGCTGGCCGGAACTCCATGTCGCGTCCAATGTCCACTCACAATCACGAAAATATCCAGCACTTCTGGAGCTTATCACCCAAAGCGGATGTTCGTCTTTGTACACCGTCAACAGCAGCAGCAACACTCAAACCTCATCTGCAGCAGCTCCCCTCTCAACCCTGCCATCAACTCCCAGAAGTCCCTCGGCCTGCTTTTGCCAACCACCTCTTATGATTCGTCTCAGAATTCCCCTCCCCCTTCGATCCACACTCACCAGCACCGCTGCCACCGTCACAGCCCCTCCCGACACCGTTGTCAGGACCCAGAAATCCCTCGGTCTACTAATCACCGCTGCAAGCACCAACGCTACCAGCTGCATTCCCTGCTGTAAGAACTCCTGCACTCCTCCCACAGCGCCTCTCTCCTCCTCCACCACCGCGCCTTGCACCATTTGCAGCACAGATAGATCAAACACCCACAGAGGAGCCCTAGAGAGTACCACTCCTATCATCAGCAGCACTGCTGGGATCGGCCCTGACGACTGGAGAACCAATCCTGCGACGACACACGGCAGGAGGCACGTCAGCTGCGACCACACCGAGGCCTCGGCAGTCCGGCTTGTCCCAAGCCTGGCGCAGAGGCTTGGAAAGAGGGTTGCTCCGAGCACGCCAGTGACAGCCGCGGCGCCGCTTGCTGAGCCTAGGAGACCAAGAGGGACGCCTTGGGAGTGCAGGTAGGCGCACATGAGAGACCCGAAGGAGAGGACTGTGAGGTAGAGGAGGGCGAGGGCGAGGGAGGGGAGGAGGGACGTCTGGTGGAGGTAGATGGTCCAAGCGGAGCGAAGGGTGGTCAGCCAGGCGGTGAGGAGGAGGCGGAGGTGGTGGAGAGAGGAGAGAAGGTGGTTCAAGAAGGAGGGGTTTTTGGCGGTGGAGGGGATGATGGGAGGCTCACTGCTGCTGCTGCTGCTGGTGGTGGTGGTGGTGGTGGTGGTGATAGAGGCGGGTGGGGAGTCTGACGGGGGGATAGGAGCAGGTGGGGTTGGATCAGCGGCTGAAGGGGCAAGCATCTGCTTGTCTCCTGCCTCATACTCCTCATTGTCGACTTGTGTATTAAGTCGACTCGAAATATCCCCCGCTCCATTCTCATCGTCCCCTCCACGCGCCACTCCTCCCTCGTTCCCTTCTTGCTCCTCTTCCTCCTCCGCTTTCTCGTCATCCTCCTCTTTTTCCTCTTCCTCGTTCCCTCCCTCACCTTCGCTGTCCTCCTCACCAGCCCTTCCGTCCTCCTCCCTGCCTCTCTCCTTGCGCCTCTCCCCCAACGCGGGCACCTGAGAGTGGACGAGCGCCAGCAGCAGCAGCTCAGCAGCAGCGGCCGTGAGGACCCACACGGCCATGGCGAGCGGCAGCGACACAGGCAGCAACTCAGGGCGCGCGGACGAGCTGGGGAGAGATGCGAGGGCGGAAGGGGGTGTGGCGGAAGGGGGAGCGGCGGAAGGGGAGGAGGCAGAGGCGGGGGAGGAGGCGGACGTGGATGCAGAGGCGGCAGCGGCAGCCATGAGGGCGCCAGTGAGGGCCGGGGCGAGCAGGCGGCAGAGCAGGTCGATGGTGCGCAGAGTGGAGTTGACCCGCGCTCGCACACGTTCCCGCTGCTCGCTCCCCTGCTCTTCCTGCTCTTTCTGTTCTTCCTCCTGCCCCTCCTGCTGCCCCTGACTCTGCCCCTGCCGCTCTCCCTCCTGCTGCGCCTGCCGCTGCCTCTGCTGCGCAGTCAGAAGCTCCTGTGTCTGCGCTGCCTCGTCCCGGTGATTAGCGTCGGCCCCCTCTCGTGCCCCTGCTTGGCCGATGCCACTCTTGCCTGCAGCATGCGTCTGCAATTGATGCTCTCCGCCCTCCACTCTCCCCCCCTCCTCTCTTCCCCCTTCCACTCTCGCCTTCTCTTCTTTTCCTTGCTGCGCCAATTCGTTACAAGACACCTCGTTATTGAACGTCAGCCGCGTTTTAGATTCATCCTCCTCGTGTCCCACCACCACCTCCACTTCTCCCCGTCCTCTCTCCTCTCCTTGCTGCCCCCTGCCCTCCCAATCCTCCTGCCGCCCGCATCCCCCTTTCAAGTTCGCAGCACCTTCGTGCTCGCAAACCCAATCCGCAATCACCACGGCCCAATCGCGTTCCACCGCGATCCCACGCGCCAATCCGGCGAGAGCAGCCGCGGCGCCCAGCACGCAAACTGCCGCCACCAGCGCCACGTCAGCTCCCGTTTCAGCCGCTCCGGCCACCCACGCGAATACGTCGGACCCAGCGGGACTCGCGGCGGCGGGTGCGGCGAGAAAGTCGGCGAGGTAGAGCAGAGCGGCGACGGCAATCGCGGCGAGAAACAGCGCGGCGTTTTGAGCGGAGATCGCGAAGGCAGCTAGCGGTAAACGCGGACATAGATCCACCCACGTTCCTATGGGGACGGAGAATAAAGACATCGCGAGCGATTCGGAGAGACCATAAAGCGCCACGAGCAGCAACGAGGCGGATCCAGCGCTGCTACTACTAGTAGTACTACCGGAGGTGACTGTAGAGGAGGAAAAGGAAGCTGACGTGGCAATGTAAGAGGAGTCTAGGAGAAAAAGCGGCACCGCGAATTCCCACATCCGATTGGTCCATCGGGAGAGGAAGTGAGAGACGTATAGGGCGAGGAGAGTCGCCTTCGGAGGAAGCTTCGAGGAAAGTCTCGGAGAGAGGATGGCCTGGAGGGCGTTGACGAGCTGAACGACTTGATGCGGAAGCGGCGCAGAGCGATTGTATCGGGAAGCTCCATATCGGGAAGCTGAATCTGCTGCGTGTTGCTTATTGGAGTTTCCAAGGGACAGCGTGGACTTGCGCCTTCCTGTGCGCTCTCGCGGCGCGTGCTTGGCTTTTCTTCTCGTTGTTCTGAACTTGGTTCGCGATTGGTCGAGAGAAGCGGAGGAAGGAGCATCGCCGGCCAATAGAAGCGTCTCCTCGAGTCCAACGCTGCTGCTGCTGCTGCTGCTGCTGCTGCTGCGTAGCCGATTTGCGGGTTCATCTTCGGGATTCGTTCGGAAACCGCACTGATCAGCCATGAACGCGATTCCGGGTCTGCGGTACGATCGTCTCCTCTACACGAATCACTTAAGGGAATTCTCAAAACAGCTCTGCGATATTTCCCTCCTCCTCCTGCGACCCTCAGTCGGCTTCTCTCACCGACTTTCCCAGCCGACTCAAAACTTGCGATTTCCAGACGACTCAGAGCATGTGTAAATTGGCGCGGTATGATCAACAGGCGACACTCAACAGACGTCTCAAAACTCTAGTGGTCGGATGAAAAGCATCCGGAGCCCATACGACGTAGCCAAAGCTCCCTTGAAGGAGCAGCGGAGTGAGTGCTCGAGTAAATAATTAGAGTGAGCGAATGAGCACGCAGGGGCCGAAAAGCAGCAGCCCTTTCAACCTCGGCCACAGACGGACCGTCCTCGGTTCTTCCCTTCCCGAGGAAACGAAGACAGGCGAGACGGACGCACTCGTCCTCCGCGCCGCTCTCCATCCCCAGCCCCAGGATGACCGCGTCATGAATCTGTGATACATGAGGGAGAGGCCTTCGCCATGTAGGAGCAGAAGACAAGTGCGCCCTTTCTCGTCGTTTGTTCCATGTGCTCTCATGCTAGGGTGCATTGAAGCGGAGAAGAGGGATGGTGGGGTGAGGGAGAGGCGAGGGGGGATCATAGCAAGATGTGCATGCGTGTGCTCTGCTCTGCTCTGCGGTGTGGAAAATGTTTTGCTCACATGTGGAATGCAGGAAGTGTGTTTCTCGAATCTCATAGCGCGGAAAACATGTGGCTGGGGAAGCCTCCAGGTGGTCATTTCTTTTCCAGAAGCAACCAATCGTAAAGCAGCAGTTCTTTCGTTCGTACTAGAAGAAAGGGTTTTTATACGGGCCGTCACAAAACCTTTCGTAGTTATCACGAGCAGTCACATGTTCCGCCAAATCTATCACGGACAGTCACAAAATCCGACAGTCACGGACAGTCCGTGATAGATTTGGCGGAACATTTGACTGCTCGTGATAACTACGAAAAGTTTTGTGACGGCCCGTATAAAAACCCTAGAAGAAAGCCAACCCCAAACTGCAGTTCCGCGGTAAACAAAAACTACTCCTACAATAGCGTCTTAAAACAGCAGTAAATGATATATACAATGAAGACCTTAATTGCTGGCTCAGGCTGTTCCATTGTGTCAAACAAGAAAGTGAGAGTGCCATCAATAGGCTGTACACAACACTACAGCATACTTCAGCTGTCACACCATACACCCTTGCCACTTCGCTACATTGCTAGTCTAGTCCCTCTTGGACCTTCGAGTACTTGGAGCTTGTGTCGAGGCCTCTGCTGATGTAATGCGCACCCAGCAGCGCCAGAGAATAAGAAACGGCACCAAGATCCAAATGGCGTTCATGCCAACAAAGTAACCCCAGAAGTAGATCGGATGGGGGTCTGAGTGGGGAAAGCCTTCCAGGTAGCTCGTGGCGAAGTACACAGCTGCTCCGTACAGCTGCCCAAGGGACACGGTGAACTGCAGCAGATTGCTGAAGGGCTTCCTGGTCGCCATGGCATACCTGCATGCAAAAATTTGAACACAGAAACATGAAGTCTCAAGGAGTGCAAGGAGGATTAGAAAAGGATTAGAAAGTAGACTCACAGAATAAGGATGCAGGCAGGGCCTTCGATGAAGGCAGTGACTGCTTCTAGAGAGACGATGCAGGTGTCACGGGTAGCATATCGTGAATCCGAAATGGCATACTCCTTCCCTGCATGGAAGTGAAGAGCAGGGCCAAAAGGAGGCGAAATCATCGATTCGACCTGACGAAAAAGTGCACGGAGGAATGGCTTGGAAAAAGGGAAGGGTTTAAGAGCGGGTTAAGACACAGCACAGGCACGGACAGGGGGAGAATTAATGTGAATGCAGGACTAGGGTAATGTGGAAATATGAGAAATCAGGCCAATGGGAGAGTAGGCAATAAAAAAACAACTAGGCGTACAGGCATCGAGTAGGAACGCCTTGCTGGTGCTGCTGATGAGGGCGGGGAAGGCGACAAATGCTCCCTCCATGAGCATGTGAATGGCGCCCGTCACGGCCCACCAGCTAAACGTGAACCGCTCCGACGCTGACAGATGCCGACATGAGCCTGGAGGAGGGAAGAGGGGAGGGGGGAGGGCGATGAGGGTTAGGGCTGATGACTGATTTTGAATGGCGACACGACCAGCAGAGGCTGTCACGGCCCACCAGCTGAACGTGAACCGCTCCGACGCTGACAGATGCCGACATGAGCCTGGTGGACAGGGGAAAGTGGTTAGGGCGGTGTGCGAGGGGGGGGAAGGGGGGGAGGGCGGGATTGGGGGGAGAAGAGGGTGGGGGTGAGGACAATGAGAGGGGACTAGGAGCCTGAAATGGGTGATGATGAACCTATACTGACAATGAGAGGGGAAAGCGTAAGAAGAGGCTACCAACACGGGTCAGAAGGCGAAGAGATGAGCCTCTGTAACACCGATTAGCGAGAATGGGAGTTAGGCGGGAAGATCAGAGGGTTGACGAAGAATGAGGAATGGTGGAAGCTGGAACGATTGGACTTATCAGGCGAGGCCGGAATTGCGTCGTTGCTGACTACACGATAGACAATGCTGGACTGGGCGCGAAAAGTGCGCCTAATACGTCTACTCACGCGCGAACAACCATGAGAGAGTGAGGATCAGCCCGATATATTAAGGCGCCTGATACGTGCGCACGAGCGAAGAGCCACGAGAGCGTGAAGATCAGCCCGACGGCCACCCCGAAAATCGAGTTTTGAGACGTCTCAAAACACGTCTCAAAACTTGAGACGTCTCAAAAGTCGACTCACGTGCGAAGAGCCACGAGACGGTGAAGATCAGCCCGACGGCCACCCCGAAAACGCCGAAGAGCTCCGCCGTGCTCCACGCTGGCGGCACGTAGTCCGGCAGCACGATGTCGCGCGGATAGTATGGATGCGCGACGCCGCCTGCCATGGTCAACGGTAAAGCGTGGTGCTGTTCGATAAATAATAGCTGATCGATAAATGTTTATGCTTCCTGACCAGCACTACGTGGCGGCTTCTGAAGCCACGCGCTGGCAAGGCGTGAGGGCAGATGTAGCCTCCACCGCTGAGGTCAGACAGGCACTGGCCATCCTCACGCGAGTGTGGGTGCAAGGCGTGCTGTGCGGTTTACGACGGTTCACGTTTGTTTTGTCCTTCACCGCTTTCCACCGTAAAGCACCAGAGTGTAGCATCTATAACATATCTGGACGCTGTCGAGAGATGGACCCCACAAAACATGTTCGTTATGCAGTTCAGATTCAGCTTAGAGCTGTGGGATGAGCAATATAGTATAAATTTATACAGTTCACTTGATTACAGCTAGTTTGTACCGTACATCTGGACCTATCAAGTCATTCTGATGAACATAATCATCCCAACGAACATGGTGAGAAGAAAGATCATGGCCAGCCACGTCGATAAGCCTGTGCAAAACCCCTGCCGGGCCAGCCGTGAAGCCCTCTGATTGGCTCGACTCAGGCTGGCCACATTTCTCTCCATCGACTCTTCGGTTGCATCAAGAACCTGCACAAACAGACGAGATCGACAAATCAATAAAATAAATAGAAGCTACAGCAATAGCAGCAAACAAACGAGGATTAAGTACATCGTAATCGTCCAATTCCAACACACGTGACTACATGATGACATGGCGGCAGTGTGTCACCTTATTGGAGCTTTTGACTTTCTGCTCCATGGCAAGCGAGTTGGCCTTCATCTGCCCTGCCAGTGTCAACATTTGATCAGTTAGCTCCTCCTGAAGGTTCCTGGAGGGGACAAAGGAGGAGAGCGGAGAGAGTGAGAGAAGCCAAGAGTGGGTAAAGGAAGGAAACACGAAGGGGAGAGAGAGAGGAAAGGTGAGGGAAGGGGAACACGGGAAAGGGGTGGGAAGAGGGAGATAGTAATGCACACAGCTGGCAGGGGTGAGAGGGTAAACGGGGAGGAGGAGAGGGGCGACTTGCGGAGAGCGCACGCGCAAGCAAGTTTGCAGGACATGAGCTGAGTAGAGGCAAGTGATGCTGTAACGAACTATACGAAGATTACTTATGCGTTGAAATGATTGCTCTTGATGCGTCGTCCAGGGTCGATCCGGAGAAAGAAGAACCTGATTGTGGGTTCTTGGAAGAAGGCCTGTCAGACAGGCCCGACAAACACATGCATGGAAAGGCAAGATGAGCTACAGAGTTGAGCAGAAAGTGAACGCACAAAGCACCAGATGAAGTGGGTGAGATGCCGGGACATGCAATCAGCCAACACAAGGCACTGGAAAACGATATGAGGCGTCTCAAAAAGAGAACCGCCAGCACAAAGGACTGGGCAATGAAGTTGCGTTAAGATCAGCTAAAGCGCTGCATCAAATGCACATGTATGCACTACAAAGGTTCAAAATCATGCACATATGAATGCACGCCTGGCATCATGACCACCACCTATACACCCATGCCCACCAATACTCCCATGCATATCATGACCACCACATGTACCCATGCATATCATGACCACCACATGTACCCATGCATATCATGACCACCACATGTACCCATGCATATCATGACCACCACATGTACCCATGCATATCATGACCACCACCTATACGCCCATGCATGCATGGAATCACAGCCGCCACCTACCCACGCATGTATACATGGAACCACGGCCACCATCCAATACCCACCCACGCCGATCTCTCAATTGGCGGCGGCGTGATCGAAGCCCCAACGCCTCCCTGCCATGCCGACCCACAAAGGCTGCAGAAGAGGGCGCATTGCCCCATGAGGCATCTCCATTGGTCTCTCCTTGCTGCTGCTGCTGCTGCTGCTGCTGCTGGGATCGAGCAGGCTTGATTCCTCTGAAGGTTGAAGATAGGTTGGGATCTTGAGGTACCAAGGCGTCCAGTTGACAGTCGTCCACAAGAGGCAGGTTGTCCGGCATGTGCCACATGTCAGGCTGTGGTTGGTGAGATGAGATGCGAGAAGAGGAATCACTTGGTGATTAGGGAAGCAAGTGACAAAGCACAACGAATTTGCCAAACTAATCAGTGAAGCTGAATCAGCTGCAAGCACATGCTCATCCAGCAAGACGGGTTTTATGCCGCCTACAAAACCACTGCAAAAGAAGAAGAAGAAGAAAAAACGATTGTTACAACGCATACTGGTCATGAGTCGTGTGAATTACATGAATCGTGCACATCATGTTACTCAGTTACCAGCACGTGCTCCTCCAGTAGATCAGCCAGCAAGGTGATTCGCTGAAGGTATGCCTCCGCCCTTGCTGCTTGGGCTTGCGCTGCTGCAGAAACAGGGAGGCTGCAGAAAGGAATGCAACGCAACGGTAAGGAAACAGGAAACGATTGCACGAAATGCTGTAAGCTGCAGTGGAGAATCATTCAGATGCATGAAGGATGACGACGGCTTGATCCTGGAGTAGGGTAGGAGGACTGGAAGAAGAGTCCACACAACAGGCCAAGTTGTAAATGGGGTGCAATAGCTGAACTGGAAACATGCATGAGGCACTTTTGAGGATTCTCTTATGTGAGTCACTTTTCAGAATTCTCAAGACAGCTGAACTGGGAAAAAGCATGCAGCACTTATCAGAATTCTCAAAACAGCAGAACTGGAAAGTAGCATGAAACTACTTGATGAATAGAAAAGACAAACAAGTGCCACTGTACTCGCTGACAAAGTGTACCTTGCAGACCGGCCTGCCGAGCCTGCTATTGACTCATGCTGGACTCGCGCAAAGAGCTCGCGTAGATACGCGACGTACTGAGAGGGAGAGCAAGATTGGTATTGGGATTGACGACAGGATCTGAAAGGCTTGATGATAAGGATGGGATGTTGGGCCATCTGTGTGCTTTTGAGTCGACTCGAGAGAACGGATCTGAAAGGCTTGAGGATAAGCACGGGAGGCTAGGTCATCAGTGTGTGCAAGCAAAAATTTCCCAACAAATCGCGATATCCCACCCACGTTGTGGAATTTGAAATCTCGTTGCAGCGCGGCTGCTGATTGGCTCCGCGCGATGCGCTCGCAGCATCGCAACAGGCGGTAAAGGTCCACCTCTAATCGCGTACAGGGAGCCGGCAAAGGCGGAAGCTGCTCTTGCGCAGGCAAGGCCGTGCCTTGACTGTTAAACAGTTCCTGTGGTTGCGCCTTATATTTTAGGAGCGGCGGCGGCGGCGCTGATTCTAAACCGTTTGTAAGTGACATGATGGAGAGACACGTAGACAATGAGAAGGGTTAGTGAAGTCGAGGTTCCTAAATCAAGCAAGCAAAACTAGCTATTGGAGCCTCGCCCTCAGTGAGGTGACATTTTGGGGGGGCTTCCGTTTTCATGCGATATGGAGCTTTCTTATTCGGGTTAGGAGATCTGGATGATATAGCCATTGTGTATGTATTTATAAATCAGAGTGTTTTTATGCTTCTGGTCTTGCCGCCTTCAACATGACTAGGAGAGCCCACGTGGGTGCCCACGTGGTAAGCCCACGTGGAACGCGCGCCGCAATTCATCCTCCAGCGCGGCATGTACCACAGCGATGATGCGAGATGCAGGGAGATCCCATGATCCATCATCATTCGCAACACGGTTACTACCACCCCGCACCCATTCAGCAGACCGGTCTTGCGAAATCCTTTACGTCGCCAGCACCATGTCCCTTCGTTAGGCAGGAGGAAACCATACCGAATTCGTCGTCTGCTGTAATGACTCCACCCCGCTGCCCCATCCTTCCCAAACCAAATCCTAGAAATAGTGGTGGAAAATTCTAGGAGCCCCTTTGCCTTGCATACCTCTTCCACTTGCACTCTTCTCTTCTCATTTCAGGGCGCTCGTCGTTATTCGTTGACTAGCACGTTTCTCTTCTCATTTGTAGTAACGCCGTTATGGATCGTTCAACGTTGCTGCCGCAGCAGGTCGCATCGAGGCCGCGAACGGTCTTCGCATATGTCCCCCTGACGCTGACCTTGGGATTATTCACGTTCCTTTTCTTCTCGCGGGCTTACGACTCTCGCGACGCCGGTTCGTCGCTGGACGGTTGGAACGAGGATGGGTTGAGCTGCGGGTTTCTGCCGAAGCTCTTCTCGCTCGTGTCCAATGAGAGCCTCGCGTTGCACCTTTGGGAGCTCACCGCCAAGCCGCACATCGCGGGCACCCCCGAAAACTTTGAGACTGCCCGTTACGTCAAGGAGAAATTCGAGGTGTGAATTCGAGACCTACGGATACTAGGATTTGCATTCAGTCTCCTCGTGTCACATGCGCGCATCACCATAGGATTTCACATCCCATCAACTGTTTTTGAGTCGACTCAAAAACAGGCATTTCACATCCCATCAACTCTTTCGTCTCCCATGACACCTTCCCAACCATCTCCCCCCCCCCTCCTCTTCCCCCACGCCCCCTCTCTCCCCCCACCCCACACACTTCCCCGCATCACACGGCAGTCGTACGGCCTGCGAGCGCACTACGCGGACTATCCCGTGCTGCTCTCCTACCCGCTGCGCCAATCTCTCCGCCTCGTGCGCCCCGTCGCGCGCAACTTCTCGCTGCGCGAGCAGCCCGTCGACGGCGACCCGTTTAGCGCCTCGCGCGCCGCCACTGATCCTTTTAACGCGTATTCTGGTAGCGGAAGTGTGGGCGGAAAGGGGGCGGGAGAGGCGGAGGCGGAGGGGGAAGGAGCGGGGGAGGCGGAAGGAGCGGCGGTTGTGTATGCGAATTATGGGCGCGAGGAGGACTTCGAGGCGCTGGTGGCGGCGATTGGGGAGGAGCAGGTGAAAGGCACAGTGGCGCTGATTCGTTATGGGAAGACTTTTAGAGGGGATAAGGTGAGCATTCACATTTCATTATAGAATATGCCGTTAGCAATCAAGACTCTTTCATGTGAAACGCGTTAAATTGGCCAACCAAGTCCCTCCTGAACTTTTCTATTTCCTTGTGTATCACAAGTGCTCATCTGTTTGTTTCGAACCTGTTCGTCAGGTTCGGAATGCGGAGAGGTTCGGCGTGGCAGCGGTGCTGCTGTATTCCGATCCAGCGGACTATGCTCCAGAGGGCACTGACGAAGCGCATGTTTACCCCCAGGAGCAATGGCTGCCCGCCACTGGCGCCCAGAGAGGCACCATCTACACAGGTAGTGGTGGAGACGTTATGACACCGATGCAAGCAATGAAGTCCATGCTTGCACCATGCACCATGCACCATGCACCATGCACCATGCACCATGCACCATACACCATGCACAATGTACCATGCAGCATGCACCATGCACCATGCACGATGTACCATACAGCATGCACCATGCACCATGCACGATGTACCATACACCATGCACCATGCACCATGCACCATGCGCCTTGCTCCATGCACGATGTACCATACACCATGCACCATGCACCATGCACCATGCACCATGCACAATGTACCATGCAGCATGCACCATGCACCATGCACGATGTACCATACACCATGCACCATGCACCATGCACCATGCGCCTTGCTCCATGCACGATGTACCATACACCGTGCTGTATACCATGCACCATGCACCATACGCCATGCTGTATACCATGCACCATGCACCATACGCCATGCTGTATACCATGCACCATGCACCATACGCCATGCTCATGCACCATTCGCCATGCACCATGCGGACAGGTGCGATGCGCTAAATGGCATCAATTTGGTGCTTTCAACTTCAGGGGCCCAGGGATGCACCATCTACATTACACATGAGCACCCTTTGGGCAAGGTGACGTGGCCGTCATCCCTCTCCTGCCACTCCCTTCCTCCCTCCAGGCAAGGGCGACCCTGCCACGCCGGGTTGGCCTTCCCATCCTGGCGGTGAGAGGTTAAGCGATGAAGAAACAGCCAAACGGCTTCCGCACATCCCGGTGCTGCCGGTGGGGTACAGCGTGGCCGGGGGCATCATGGCGCACATGGGGGGAAGTACAGTGCCGGAGGAGTGGCGGGGCAGCATGGATGGCGTGCAGTATGTGTTCGGGCCGGGGCCTGCTGCTGTTGACGTGGAGGTGCAGGTGAGAGATAGCGTGGGGGGAGTGGGTTGTGTGCGTTGTGTGAGCGTGGCTGCGTGCTGCGTGCATGCATTACGCACAGCGAGTGCGGGGGGTGATGCACCTTGCTTGGAGCCATCCGTCCCACCTCATCCATCCCTCGTCTCTCCGCTCTCATCCTTCACACCTGTTAGATTCTGCCTGCCCGCTTTCCCCATGGTTTTTGGATCTTCCCCTACCATCTGCTAGCGTGATCGCAGATGAACGCCACAGTGGCCACAAATTGGCAGCGCTGTTGTTGAGTGTCTCCTTTCTCGTCGTCCTCCACACGCCTGCATGTGTCTGCCTGCCCGCCCCGCCCTTCCCATCCCCTCGTGTGATCCACAGATGAACGCCACAGTGACCACCATCCGCAACGTCATTGGCGTGCTGCCAGGCTCCCACCAGCCCGACAGGTGAGCAGAGGGCATAGGTGAGTGAGAGGGCGGGATGGTACGATGTGTCTGGTAAGTGAGTGTAGAGTGCAGAATTGGCTGATGTAGTAGATCAACACCACAGTGACCACCATCCGCAATGTCATTGGCGTGCTGCCAGGCTCCCACCAGCCCGACAGGTGAGCAGAGGGCATAGGTGAGTGAGAGGGCGGGATGGTACGATGTGTCTGGTAAGTGAGTGTAGAGTGCAGAATTGGCTGATGTAGTAGATCAACACCACAGTGACCACCATCCGCAATGTCATTGGCGTGCTGCCAGGTTCCCACCAGCCCGACAGGTGAGCAGAGGGCATAGGTGAGTGAGAGTGCGGGATGGTACGATGTGTCTGGTAAGTGAGTGTAGAGTGCAGAATTGGCTGATGTAGTAGATCAACACCACAGTGACACCATCCGCAATGTCATTGGCGTGCTACCAGGCTCCCACCAGCCCGACAGGTGCGCTGCTGAGGGCAGTGGCGGTCGTGGATTGCTGGGTGTCTGATTTCCCAACTTTACTCAAATAAAGCCACCAGGGCTGTCCCTGGTGCCATTGCCACCGGGGCTGTCCCTGGTGCCATTGCCACCGGGGCTGTCCCTGGTGCCATTGCCTCCGGGGCTGTCCCTGGTGCCATTGCCTCCGGGGCTGTCCCTGGTGCCATTGCCTCCGGGGCTGTCCCTGGTGCCATTGCCACCGGGGCTGTCCCTGGTGCCATTGCCACCGGGGCTGTCCCTGGTGCCATTGCCTCCGGGGCTGTCCCTGGTGCCAGTGCCACCGGGGCTGTCCCTGGTGCCAGTGCCACCGGGGCTGTCCCTGGTGCCATTGCCACCGGGGCTGTCCCTGGTGCCAGTGCCACCGGGGCTGTCCCTGGTGCCACTGCCACCGGGGCTGTCCCTGGTGCCAGTGCCACCGGGGCTGTCCCTGGTGCCAGTGCCACCGGGGCTGTCCCTGGTGCCAGTGCCACCGGGGCTGTCCCTGGTGCCAGTGCCACCGGGGCTGTCCCTGGTGCCAGTGCCACCGGGGCTGTCCCTGGTGCTAGTGCCACCGGGGCTGTCCCTGGTGCCATTGCCACTGGGGCTGTCCCTGGTGCCAGTGCCACCGGGGCTGTCCCTGGTGCCAGTGCCACCGGGGCTGTCCCTGGTGCTAGTGCCACCGGGGCTGTCCCTGGTGCCATTGCCACCGGGGCTGTCCCTGGTGCCAGTGCCACCGGGGCTGTCCCTGGTGCCAGTGCCACCGGGGCTGTCCCTGGTGCCAGTGCCACCGGGGCTTTCCCTGGTGCCATTGCCACCGGGGCTGTCCCTGGTGCCATTGCCTCCGGGGCTGTCCCTGGTGCCATTGCCACCGGGGCTGTCCCTGGTGCCATTGCCACCGGGGCTGTCCCTGGTGCCATTGCCACCGGGGCTGTCCCTGGTGCCATTGCCTCCAGGGCTGTCCCTGGTGCCATTGCCTCCGGGGCTGTCCCTGGTGCCAGTGCCACCGGGGCTGTCCCTGGTGCCAGTGCCACCGGGGCTGTCCCTGGTGCCATTGCCACCGGGGCTGTCCCTGGTGCCAGTGCCACCGGGGCTGTCCCTGGTGCCAGTGCCACCGGGGCTGTCCCTGGTGCCAGTGCCACCGGGGCTGTCCCTGGTGCTAGTGCCACCGGGGCTGTCGCTGGTGCCATTGCCTCCGGGGCTGTCGCTGGTGCCAGTGCCTCCGGGGCTGTCCCTGGTGCCATTGCCTCCGGGGCTGTCCCTGGTGCCATTGCCACCGGGGCTGTCCCTGGTGCTAGTGCCGCCGGGGCTGTCCCTGGTGCCATTGCCTCCGGGGCTGTCCCTGGTGCCAGTGCCTCCGGGGCTGTCCCTGGTGCCATTGCCTCCGGGGCTGTCCCTGGTGCCAGTGCCACCGGGGCTGTCCCTGGTGCCAGTGCCACCGGGGCTGTCCCTGGTGCCAGTGCCACCGGAGCTGTCCCTGGTGCTAGTGCCACCGGGGCTGTCCCTGGTGCCAGTGCCACCGGGGCTGTCCCTGGTGCCATTGCCTCCGGGGCTGTCCCTGGTGCCAGTGCCACCGGGGCTGTCCCTGGTGCCATTGCCACCGGGGGCTGTCCCTGGTGCCATTGCAGCCGGCCCACCACCAGTGCCACGCAGAACTGAAGTTCCACTGTGATTTTAATCACTTGTGAGATTGGGATGCATCCTGCCCTCGTCTCATGAAACAGTCAGTGACATCACGTCAATAAACCTTCCCCCTCCCCCCCCCCTCTCTGGACCACCACCACCACCATCACCACCACCACCACCACCACCACCACCACCACCACCACCACCACCACCACCACCACCACCACCACCACCACCACCACCACACCACACACACCACCACCACCACCACCACCACCACCACCACCCACCACCACCACCACCACCACCACCACCACCACCACCACCACCACCACCACCACCACCACCACCACCACCACCACCACCACCACCACCACAACGTGTGTAGGTACATTATCCTGGGCAACCATCGCGACGCATGGGTGTTTGGTGCTGCAGATCCCAACAGCGGTACCACCTGCCTGCTCGAGGTATCGCATGTTTTGCTCAAGATGGCGCATGTTTGCTACCGTAAAAGATGGCTCGTGTTTGTTTCCATAAAAGATGGCACGTGTTTGTTACCATAAAAGATGGCACGTGTTTGTTACCATAAAAGATGGCACGTGTTTGTTACCATAAAAGATGGCACGTGTTTGTAACCATAAAAGATGGCGCGTGTTTGTTACCATAAAAGATGGCACGTGTTTGCTTGAGGTGCGACGGCTGATACAGATCCCACATAGTGCTTTATCTTATCATTCTGGAATGCTTTCTACAGGTTTCCACATATGGTTTGCAGCTACTCCGCGATGAATCTTGATCCTTGGGCTGGGTGGGCTTTATCTTATCATTCTGGAAAGTCAGCTTTTCACTTCCACCCACTCCTCCTCGTCTTCTGAGAATTCTCAAAAAGCAGATTCAGCCTAGTATCACCCACTCCTTCTCGTATTCCTAATCCCCTGCCATCCCAAATCTGCCATTACCAGGTGGCGCGTGCGTTTGGCCACATGGCAGTGCATGGTTGGTCGCCTCGCCGCTCGCTTGTGTTTGCCAGCTGGGATGCTGAGGAGTACGGATGCGTGAGTGTGACTGTAGAGGGGGTTGACACCGTGAAGTATAGGGGAGAGAGGAGGATAAGGTTAACAGTGTAGGGGGAGGAGTGAAAAGAATGCTGTGGGGTACAGATGCGTGAGTGTGACAGTAGAGGGGGGGTGGCAGTAGAGGGGGCGACCGTATTGGTGTGAGGTATGGGGGTGACGGTGTAGGGGTGACAGTGTAAAGGTGACGGTATAAGGGTGAGAGTATAGAGATGACAGCGTGATAGTAAAAAGATGACAGCATAAGGGGCTGACAGGGCGGAGTAAAAAGATGCAACTTTTCCCTCACCTACATACTCCTCTTGTCCTTTCCTCCTCCCATCCCCATCCCTACCCTATCCCCATGCCCACTGCCATGTTCATCCTTATCCCCATCCCCACCCTTTCCGCCCATCCCCATCCATTTACTTCCACAACACCTGTTCCCATCCTCATTTTGCAGGTGGGATCAACCGAATGGGCGGGGGACAATGCACCAGTGCTAGCGACAGCAGCCATGGCATACATCAACGTGGATGTTGCTGTGGGGGGAGGTGGCTTCCATTTCCCATCCCTCGACTTCACATCACATACACACTCCCCCTACCCCACGCCCATGCTCGTGCCCATCCCTCAGCTAGGATCAACCGAATGGGCGGAGGACAATGCGCCAGTGCTAGCGACAGCAGCCATGGCATACATCAACGTGGACGTGGCGGTGGGGGGAGGGGGCTTCCATGCCTCCGCCACCCCGCAGCTTGATAACCTCGTCCGTGACGTCAGCAGCCAGGTGGGTAGGCATGCTGACGTCAGCAGCTGGGTGTCGCTGATATCAATTGAGCCACGTGGACTGGGCGAATAGCAGGTAGGCAGTTTGAGATGTTTCAAAACTTTTTTTCTCCGTCCTGTGCCCACACACCCCTTCCCCCATTTTAATGCCTTTCTTCCGCTCTCCCTACTCTGTTTCCCTGCTCTCCGTCCTCCCACTTTCCTGTGCTTCCCCTCCCCGCAATCTCAAGAAATCCTTGTGCTGATTGGTTATAATGTCTTTGCGGTACATATGATCTGTGTGCTGTACATGTGTACGGCAAAGTGATCGTGTATTGAAAAGTGATCGTGTATTGAAAAGTGATCGTGTATTGAAAAGCGATCGTGTATTGAAAAGTGATCGTGTATTGAAAAGTGATCGTGTATTGAAAAGTGATCGTGTATTGAAAAGTGATCGTGTATTGAAAAGTGATCGTGTATTGAAAAGTGGTCGTGTATTGAAAAGTGATCGTGTACTGAAAAGTGGTCGTGTATTGAAAAGTGATCGTGTATTGAAAAGTGATCGTGTATTGAAAAGTGATCGTGTATTGAAAAGTGATCGTGTATTGAAAAGTGATCGTGTATTGAAAAGTGATCGTGTATTGATAAGTGATCGTGTATTGAAAAGTGATCGTGTATTGAAAAGTGGTCGTGTATTGAAAAGTGATCGTGTATTGAAAAGCGATCGTGTATTGAAAAGTGATCGTGTATTGAAAATCCGGACCTAGTGTTCTTCCCCTCCTTCATCTGTTGCGCCACCCACAGGTGGCCAATCCCGATGGTCCAGCTGGCGAGTCGCTATTGGAGGGGTGGGCGGCTGAGCACAACACGTCAGAGCCTGAGGTGAGCTGTGGACGATGTATGGTACAGGTGCATGCATGATGCAGTTTGCTATACGTAATAACCTCCCTGCAGCATCGTGAACATGCCTGTTGATGCATCACAAATGCTCTCACATCCTCCATATTGCACATCCGAAATTAAGGTGTAAGAGACTCATTCCCTCTGTGCATCTTATACGAAGTCATAACATGACACGTTTGAAAATGTTTCTTTAGTCGACTTTTGAGTCGACTCAAAAATCGACTCATCACACACCAAGTCATGACATGACACGTCTGAAATTGTTTTTTGAGCCGACTCAAGAATCATATCATTCCATTCTGCATCCCTAACCCCACCCACATGCTGCAGTTGGGTTTTTGAGTCGACTCAAAAGTCAACTCTGAAATCATACCATTCCATTCTACATCCCCAACCCCACCCGCATGCTGCAGTTGGGGCGGCTGGGAGGGGGAGGCAGTGACTTTGCAGCGTTCCTGCAGCACCTTGGGATTGCCGCAGCAGACACCCACTTTTCAGGATGTGAGTAATCTGAGGGGATGCTGTGAGGTTAGAAGGCGGGGGTGAGAGCTTAAAAAGGTGGGTTCGTGAGTTTATAAGGGGGTGGTGTGAGGTTATACCGGGGTGATGTGACCTTATAACGGGGTGGTGTGGGGTTAGAAGGGGATGGTGTGAGGTTAGAAGGGGATGGTGTGAGGTTAGAAGGGGATGATGCGAGGTTAGAAGGGGATGGTGTGAGCTTCTAGGAGGGCAACATTCAGACTAACCTACTCATGTCGTTGGATGGCTTTTGAGGCTCCCCCAAATTTCTCTTCCATTTCCCCCTCCCTTTCTCCCCTCTCTCTCTCTCTCGTTGCACCAGCCTACACAATGCACCACAGCACAGCGTGCACGACAACTACCTTGGGATGGCTTTAAGTGCTTTAGGAAACTTCCTCTCCCCATTTCTGCTCTCTCATACTGTCAGCCTACCCCATGTATCACAGCGTGTATGACAACTACCATTGGATGGCCACCTTTGCCGATCCACTCTTCAAGCGCCACGTGGCAATCGCCAAGATGATGGCTGGCGTGGCTGCCAGGCTGGCAGGCGACCACCGCCTGCCGTTCAACTACTCCGCATACGCCGTCCACCTGGAGCATGACGTGGCAAGGCTGCAGGCTGACGTGGCAGCACAAGGCGCCCCGTCATCTCTCTCCATGGAGCCTCTCTTTGCGTCGGTTTCTCGCCTCCAAGCGGCTGCTCAAGGCATTGAAGCAGAGATTCAGGTGCGCATTCAGGCTGATAGTCAGGGGTGCACAGCGGTAGGATGCACAGCAGTGGGATGCACAGCGGTTGGGTGCACAGCGGTTCGGTGCACAGCGGTTTGTGTCTGTCTCTCATCTCTAAGCTGCTGCTCAAGGCATGCACCTCGTGTCAGCCCCATCTCACACCCCCCGAATCCCACACACCCGCTCCCACCACCATAGTACATCACAGCGTCCAGCAGCAGCGCGTGCAGGTGCACGAGGGGAAGGGGATGCCCCATGGAGGAAGGCAGCGCCAACTGCCCATCGTCCAAGGCGTTTGACGCGGTGAACGAGCGGCTCTTTCTGGCGGAGAGGGGGTTCCTGGATGGGCATGGCATCGGGCCTCACTACACGTGGTTCAAGCACCTGGTGGGTGGAAGGGAAGAGTCATGTTGTAAGGTAGTAGTGTGGGGCTACAGTGTGGGCGTGGCGTGGGTGCATGCCAGTAGGCTTGCTGTGGTGACACCAAGTGAGCACAGACATGCATGAGGACTGATAGTGCCATGAGGTAAGCAGTGTGGGGCGGAATGCATGCAAGGTCGTGTGCTGTACAGAGTGTATGGTATATGAGCTTTAGGCGCCTCAAAAATTATGTCTAGTGGTACATGGTGTTATCCATAGGGTTTTTTTTTCACTTTCCAATCCATTTTCTATTCGTCTTTCCCATATCTCAAGTCTTCTTTCCCAACGTCCCCCGCGCCAGGTGTACGGCCCTGAGAAGGACAACGACTACGCCACGTCACCGTTCCCCGGGATCCGCGACGCCATTGCTGACGTCATCAAAAGCAGCGCCTCCAAAAAGGAAAATCCCACGGCTGAGGCAGATGGTGCTATGGAGGGGAGTGACAATAACGAGGATGGGGAGGAGTGGAGGGCGGTGCAGCATGAGATCTTCCGGGCGGCACGGGCGATTGAGAGGGCGGCGAAGATCCTCGAGGGGCAGCTGCTGTGAGCTGGTGTGCAGAGTGGTTCTATGCGATGGTGTGCAGTGCAGTGTGTTTCTGGGTGGTGAAGCTGTGACATGGGATGGTGTGTGGTCCGTGTGGTGGCATAGTGTGCTGTGGGTTGTGGATCGCTGGGCTGGTGCATCGCTGCTGTGAGCACCACAATGCATGTGCTGTGCTCGCCCTGCTGCGCACTCAAGCTCTGCCAGTGGTGGTGTCTGACCCGTCTGTTCAGTTCAGATGTGCCATGCCAAGACTTCTTTGCTAGTTATTGTATAGAGCGACCTTTGGTCTGTGCTGCATGGCACTACTAGATGCCAACAGTGCTAGATGCACTGTAGTCATGGTAGCACTATACTAGCACTGTGCTAGGTAGTGTAGTGAAGTGGGTGATGGTGTGTGGCGTGGGCGATGCATTTTCTCACTGCTGCCCTTTGATTCGAACCAGTGTGTGTGTGACAGCTAAGTTGTGTGACAGCTAAGTTGTGTGACAGCTAAGTTGTGTGACAGCTAAGTTGTGTGACAGCTAAGTTGTGTGACAGCTAAGTTGTGTGACAGCTAAGTTGTGTGACAGCTAAGTTGTGTGACAGCTAAGTTGTGTGACAGCTAAGTTGTGTGACAGCTAAGTTGTGTGACAGCTAAGTTGTGTGACAGCTAAGTTGTGTGACAGCTAAGTTGTGTGACAGCTAAGTTGTGTGACAGCTAAGTTGTGTGACAGCTAAGTTGTGTGACAGCTAAGTTGTGTGACAGCTAAGTTGTGTGACAGCTAAGTTGTGTGACAGCTAAGTTGTGTGACAGCTAAGTTGTGTGACAGCTAAGTTGTGTGACAGCTAAGTTGTGTGACAGCTAAGTTGTGTGACAGCTAAGTTGTGTGACAGCTAAGTTGTGTGACAGCTAAGTTGTGTGACAGCTAAGTTGTGTGACAGCTAAGTTGTGTGACAGCTAAGTTGTGTGACAGCTAAGTTGTGTGACAGCTAAGTTGTGTGACAGCTACCGGTAAGTGCTACGCATGCTTTCCTTTCACTTGCGTTTGTAGACGTTTGCTTGTCAGAACTCAAACACTTTGCCACGGACGGATGGCAGTAAAAGAGCTCATGCACAGGCCATCAGTTGTCAGAGGCTGTGATGGGCGTACAGTACGAACGTACGGTAGGTAACCTGGGCAGCCTCTTAAGCAAGAGGGTTTAGGAGGGCACTCTGTCAAACAACCCAAATCAGAGGTAGCGAAAGAGCTGTACTCCCTATAACGTAGTGATGTTTTTTTCTGCCTAGAATAATGAGTAGCTGTGCTGTGCCTGTGGAGTGGAATCACCATGACACAAGGTACCGGTATGAGAGGTCCACGTAGTCTGGAATCTCCGCCTTGCTGACATATACAGCGCAACACACACTGTTCCCAATCCTATCACTCAATCCATGGGATGGGAAAATTGTTCTTAAGAGGTATCACTCGTCCACGAGCAATGTTTAAAAGAGCTTTGCCCCATCAGGGATGGCCGAGAGGTCCACATAGACTAGGATCTACATTTTTTATGTCTTGGGATACGTATGCATGCTCAGTCTCCTACCGCATCACTCGTCCATGAGCAGCGTCTGGAAGAGCTTGGGGCCGTCAGGAATGGCCGAGAGGTCCACGTAGTCTGGAATCTCCGCCTTGCTGACCCACGCGAAATCTTTTATTGTCCGGGCAGCTGGGTGGAACTCCCCTCCGAGCACGTGCGCTCGGAAGAAGAAAGCCGTGGCCGAAGTCTGGTTGGAGTGAGATTCCAATAGGGAGGAAGGAAGAGGTGTGTGGGGATGGGATGGGGGGTGACAGGGCATAGCAGTTCGACATGAGGCGTGACATGACATGAGGCATGACATGACATATGGTGTGACATGACATAAGGTGTGACACGAGGTGGGACCCGAGGTGTGGCAAGAGGTGTTGAGCAAGGCGTAATGCGAGGAGAATGAGCATGCAACAAGGATGGTACAAGCAGGTCAATAAGAGTGACAGACGATTAGCCATACTTGTTACCAACACACACAGCCAAGAGTACGCAATTCAAGTGATTTGTGAGAGGGAGGAACCCAAGAAATGAAGATATGCAGTGCATGCCTTTTGAGGCGCCTCAAAAGTCACACAGCAACGAGTACGCAATTCAAGTGATTTGTGAGAGGGAGGAACCCAAGAAATGAAGATATGCAGTGCATGCCTGCACCCGTCACTCGCAGCACAACAACACAACACCGCAACACAAGAACGAGTACCATGGGAGCGTGAGCACAGAGGTGACTTTTGTGTCGAACAAAAGTCACCTCACACAACAACAAGAGCACAAGAGTGATGCTCCCTGTGCACAAGACATGAGCACAAGAGTGAGTACCATGGGAGCGTGAGCACAGGGGGCATTGCCCACGAAGTAGAGATCAAGGGAGGAACCGAGGGATGCTGCTGCTGCTCTCTCCGCACACTGCAGGTGACATCAGGCCAGGCGAAGGGCAGGGACGAAGGGAGGTCGGGGGAGGAGGGAAAAGAACCAAGACAGGGAATACGGACAGGGAAGGGAGTCAAGCCGTGTGGAAAAGAAAGAAAGTCATGGGGTCACATTCATGAACTCCACTTGAATGAGGTAGGCATGGCTGGATGGAATGAACATTTGAAGCCCATGTGGACAGTAAAGCTCACCTGGCGCATGGAGTCTTCGCCTTCATAAAGCTTCTCAGGGAAGTGCCACGTGTCGCTGCCTGATTGGCCGGCAAGCGAGGGGCCCTTGAGCAGCAGGTACAGGCGCTTGTCCAGTGCGCGTTGCAGTGACCTGGTGGGGTGGGAAGGAGGGGGAAGGAAGGAAAAAGGGGAAATAGAGGGAAGGGGATGATGGGGGAGGAGAAAGGAAGTGAGGAAGTTGGGGGAGGGGGAGAAATGAGGGGAGCAGGTACAGGCGCTTGTCCAGCGACCGTTGCAGGGACCTGGTTTTGGGGGAGATGGGTACATTGAGGGGGAGGGGGTTCAGTGAGAGGGAGGGAGGTAATAGGGGAACGTGGGGTGGGAGGCCAGGAATAGCAGGTAAGCCAAGAAAAGGTGCGGAGGCTTACTTGTGCTTGTCAGCGAAGCTGTCTGTAAGGGAGTTTTTTTACTTCCTGCCTTCCTACCCACCTGACGTCATTGGCCTCGTCAGCAGCTGTTCGTCTGGACGGCGCGTCAAACGGCGCCTCGAGGACTCCCGCCCAGTACTCGTCCTGCTCCTCCGCTTCCCCCTCCGCGCCTGCTGCGTGCGCGGCGGAGAGGCGTGTGCGCGGAGAGGAGGGGGAGTGTGCGCGCGGGGGAGAGGGGGGTGTGCGCGGGGGAGGGAGGCGGGGAAAGGGTGGGGAACGGAGACGGGAGTGGGTTAGGGGTGAAGGGGCGGGAAGACAGTGGCAATGGAATATGGCGTGTTTTGAGAACGACTCAACACGAAGGATGTGTGGGGGACGAATGGCGAGATGACGGCACGAGACTGAATGGAGAAAGCGGGAGATGGACGGATGGCGAAACGAGGGGAGAGGGGCCAGAAGATCTACCGTTGGGAAGGAAACGAGGCACCGAACCGACACGTGGCACACCTGCATTGGTCGAAGCGGCCGCGTCTAGAAATTCTTTAGGATACTGCTTGCGGTATTGCTGCTTCCGCTCGAAACTGTCACAGATGCAGAGGGAGGAAAAGGGTGCTCGTTATTGTCACACCTACCATGCTAGAAAACGATCAGGCCTAGACGCAACCAATAACCCGAAGCGCGAAAGCGGCTACTACGATCACGAGCCTAAAGCCTCGAGAAATTCTCAAAGCGCCTCGATACACGAACCTAAACGTCTCGTATTTAAGAGCCCATTCGGGAGGCTTCGGGATGACGACAGGTAGCCGCTCGACCAATAGCGACGCGATCAGCTGCTGACCCGCCGAGCCGCTAGTTACGCTGGTCTCTGCGCTAAATAATCTTGCAGCAGCAGCGGTGCCAGCTGGCACACTTTGATTGGCCATCGCGGATGGTGCGATCCATGGCGATCTGCTCGCGGCTGACGTGGACAGGAAAGCGGGAATCGCTCCGGATGGAGCGGGCCCGCCAGGAGCGACGGAGGCGGCGAGGCGGCCAAAGTGAAGGGCTTGAACTGCGGCTCGACGCATGGTACGCGGACGGACAGGATTCGTGGTATCCTTGGGCCGATCGCGCTGCGGGTCTGACGTATGTTGCGAAATGATAAAGGTCTAGAAGTCTGGGGATAAACAGGTTACAAGGAGCGAGAACCCGCAGCGCTCGAGCGAACGCGGCACATCATGTGGCCTCGAGACTTTCATAGCATGATCAGGAGGTGAGCGAAAGATGCGGTGTACCATCCCTCCTGCTCGTCGATTTCGCCCATTTAAAAAAAGAGCGGTAACCATTTCTCGTTAGTCCCTTGACCCCATCGTCTTTGAATTTTGTCCGCTGGTGAAGATTTCACGAAAGAATCATGCATTCGTAAGGTAACAGGATCTCGCAAACACAACACTCCTTTCTGGTCCCCCTGCTTGCCTCCTCTGTTTGGTTGACCCCTTTTTGGCCATTTTCCACATTCCCCTAAACCTGATCCGAATCCCATGGCAATCCCGAGGTCTTCACTTCAACAAAAAGCCACACTTTTTCACTGGACCGCTGCTTTCACTACACTTGTTGCGAGAGTCAGAAAGCTTAATTGCAGCACGCGCTCTTGAAACCGAACAATGCAGGTCAGCCTTCCGAGGCCCGCTATTAACAGTGCGCCTTGTAGGAACCTTCAGGTGGTTGGGCTTTTAAGGAGATCCCCGGAGGAAACCTACCCCCCGTAGAGGATAGGCGCTTCAGGTGGTTGGGGCCACATCGGAACCTCCTGAACACTTGCATTCTCGCATATATCATGTCAAACCGCACATGGTGGCCTGCTCTCCAATTTCCGACCAATTTACAAGAACATTCAAGCAGCCTAGAATCTCCCATTCAGGGAAATTCCCTGCGAACCTTTCCCGGGCTGTGCTAGTAAGACCATTCCCGCTTCAAGCCTCCCGAAACACGAGAAACGGTAATGCCGTCACATTCCCGACTTCCAGATCGGATTCCCGCAATTTCCGCACGAAAGGATGCTCGGCCGACCGAACCAGTGTATCAAGAAACCCCCGTTTCGTCGGTCTCCCGCAACCTACAGAAAGAGCACCCTACAGATCACCCAAAGTCATCGCCCTACAGGCGGGAACGAGAGATCATGTCGCACGAAGAAATGCCGGAGAAACACTACATAAGCAGCACCAATCGTTTACGGACATGTGGCAGCGCATCGGCGTAGAGCCAGCAGAGCCTTTGGTGCGTCTGGGAGTCGAGCCGCGTGAGAGAGCAGAGTCAAGAACGGGTGCCGATGAGGAGGAAGAGGAGGAGGGAGGAGAACGAGGCCTCTTCGTCTGTTCGCCCGGAACCAATCTCCCAGGTTCCGCCTCCGCTGGTCCCTCTGTTCCCCCTTCCGCCCCTTCCGCTTCCCCCTCTACCCCCACCTCTCTGCCTTCCGCACCTTCCCCTCCCCCGTTTGCGCCCGCGCGTTCCGCCATCCCCGCCGGCACGCCTCTGCTGTCCGTGCTGTTAGAGGGCCCTACGACAGCAAGGGCCCTCGCGAAATGTTAGACTTGGCAGGTTGACGACCGACGACCTGGTCTACTCGGCACCGTCGCACAGGTTCGATGGCAGTCAAGTGTGACTACGGGTGAATGCGAGCTGCAGTAAGGAATCTGCTGAAGTCGGTGCTGGGAAGTAGAGTCGTGGGAGTCTTTGTGTGCTTCCTTATGAGGCACGCCACTCCCAAGCTGAGTCGGATGGAGTTGCGTGCTCGGAAGGTTTTCGCTGCTGAGTTGGATGGAAGTTTGGCGGGGCGCGTTCGCCAACTCCCACAGCACTTTCGTGTGGGTTGGGTTACTCGCAGCGCCCTCGCTACCTTTTGTGAACGCTTGCTTGCCTTTATATGTTTGTGTTTGCTTGTGTGTTTCATATATTCTAGTTTCCTAGTGAAGCTCAATCTCTACTCAAATTCTCACTTAGTCTTTTGAGACCAACGCTACCGAATTCCTAGCGCAACATCATTCCCATAAGCAGAATCTCTCTCGCCGTCGTAGTGCTCTCCATAGTATTCCTTCACGTGCCTCTGCGCGCCACGCTGTGGGTGCCTCTGCACGCCACGTCAGCAGGAGCGGGAGCAGGGGGCGGCGGGAGTCCAGTGCAGCGACTGGCGATTGCGCTGCTGCAGGCGGTTTGTGGGAGAGAGGACGCTGGGATGCGCGCGGGGGAGGGGGAGGGAGGGAGGGGAGTAGTAGGGATAGCGGCTGATGGGGAGAAGGCGACGCAGGGGGAGGAGGGGAAGGAGAAGCAGGAGCAGGCGCGGGAGGAGGGGACGGTGGGCAGCATATGGCGGCAATATGCAGAGGAGCTGCTGCCGAGAGAGATAGAGGCACGTCGTGCTGCTTTGATGCCATGAGTAGTGTGGTGTGTGTGGTGTGCCGTGGTTCGGTATGGTATGATATGGTGTGGTGTGGCATGGCATGGTATGGAATGGCATATTACAGCTACCCCCATCCTCGTACGCTTGCGATGAGCACATATAGCATACGCTGATGATTTTGTACGTATCCTTGGATTGGATGGATGCAATTCTTTGAGACGTCTCAAAAACTCTCTTTCATCCTTGGACGGATGCAATTCCCGCAGGCATTTAACTTGCAGAGACCCATTACTATTAGGATGCTCAACGACTGAAAGTGGTTGAGTGGATTGACCAACGAATCATTCGTCCCTCTCTTCTCCTACTTCCCCTCGCCCACCATCTCTGTTCAGACTCTGGCCGATTGGAGAGAGGAGGAGTTAGAGCACCTGCAGTCGCCGCCAGCAGCAGCGGAGGTGCGGGCATACGCGGCAGAGATGGCAGCAATGGAAGCAGCAGTAGCTGCAGCCGTGCCAGGGGCAGGGAGGGAGAGAGCCCGCTGGGCTCTGCGTGTCGTCACCTCACGGTCCTTCTCCATCTCCCATGCTTCTCACCCTGCTAGTGCTGCCAGTGCTGCTGGTGCTGCCGAGCCTGCCGTCCCAGCTCATCCTGCCGAACCTGCCAAGGCGGCTGGTGCTGCGAAGTTGAGAGGAGCCACTGCGGACACACCACTCAGGGATGGGGGTGGTGGATCGGCGGAGCAGCTGCCATCTGCGTTTCAGGTATGTATCTCTTGCCATCCTCTGCCCTTCTGTGATGCTGGTTGGAGAGGCGCGGCTGGTGCTGCGTAGTTCAAAGGAGCCGCTATGGACACACCGCTCAGGGATGAAGATGGTGGATCGGCAGAGCAGCTGCCATCTGCGTTTCAGGTTGGTTCTTCCCTTACGATCCTCTGTCCTCTTGTGAGCCTGGTTGGATTGGCATGCATGGTTCCCCCAGGTGCAAATAGGTCTGTTTGTGCAAATAAGTAACCGCCCAGGTGTTCATATTGCGTGCTTCCCCCACAAACCCTCAGCTCTCTACTCCCTCTACTGGACAGGCCCAAATATGCCTGCAGCACTGCCACTCTTGGCACCGACTCAGCAACTCACCCTTGGCTCTTTGCTTCTCTACGCTTTATGCTCTCCCCTCATCCCCAGCTGCTGGTGCCGCTAGTGGACATGGCCAACCATGCCTTCAGCGCTGCCATGCCACCCGTTCACACGCACTCGTGCGGCCGTCTCACACCAATCCTCTCTCTCTCTCCTCTCCAACCATGGCAGGTGCTGGTGCCGCTAGTGGACATGGCCAACCATGCCTGCAGCGCTGCCACGGATTTGAATGCCGCTGTGCAGCCATCTGCCACGTGGCGCATCAGAAGTGGGCGGACGCAGGTAGGTGTGGTGGTGGGAGGAACAGGTGGTAACGCGTGGTTGGGTTGGGTGGAGTGGAGTGGAAGACGCGGTGAGAAATGCAGGTGATGAGGGCATCTGGACGAGGCCACATGCAAGGTGTAAGTGGAAGGAAGGAACCAAGACCATTCTCTGACACTCTTTTGTCTCTGCGCTTTGTCCCCTCATGATGACCTGGTGATCTCCATAACCCACATGAACCTTCACTTTTAGAAGTCAAGTCCCACCCTTTCCATCCTGTATACCGTTCTTTCACGGCTGCAGCGCAATTCTCCCAACCTCCCATCCATCCCATCCCAGCAACCAGAGCCCTGCATCCGCGCCTCCCCCTCCCTCCCTGCTTTGAGCTGCTTGCATCACACCCTCTGCGCCCCGGCGGCCAAGTGACCACCTCGTACAGCCCTTTTCAGAGGTTCTCAATAGTCACCTTCCTCGCCTTTCCAACCTCCCCATCCCATCATCCAGGGCTTTGCGTCCACGCCGTCCCCTCCGCGCTTTGAGCTACTCGCATCTCGCCCTCTGCGTCCCAGCGCCCAAGTGACCATCTCCTATGGCCCCCTCACCTCCAACCCCTCCATCCCACCCATCTTACCAACCAGGGCCCTGCATCCAGCCCTCCTCGCTTTGAGCTACTCGCATCTCGCCCTCTGCGTCCCGACGCCCAAGTGACCATCTCCTATGGCCCCCTCACCTCCAACCCCTCCATCCCACCCATCTTACCAACCAGGGCCCTGCATCCAGCCCTCCGCGCTTTGAGCTACTCGCATCTCGCCCTCTGCGTCCCGACGCCCAAGTGACCATCTCCTATGGCCCCCTCACCTCCAACCCCTCCATCCCACCCATCTTACCAACCAGGGCCCTGCATCCAGCCCTCCGCGTTTTGAGCTGCTCGCGTCTCGCCCTCTGCGCCCCGGCGCCCAAGTGACCATCTCGTACGGCCCCCTCACCTCGCTCGCCTTCCTATCCCACCCAACCCCTCCATCCATCCCATCCCACCAACCAGGGCTCGTCATCCGCCCCCGGCCCTCCGCGCTTTGAGCTGCTCGCATCTCGCCCACTCCGTCCTGGCGCCCAAGTGACCATCAGCTACGGCCCCCTCACCTCCCTCGCCTTCCTGCTCTCCTTCGGCTTCCTCCCCCGCAGCAACCCCGCCAACCGAATCGCCATCTACTCTCACTCAGAGGTAATGTGCGGAAAATGAAAGAAAGAGTGTGGAAAATAATGTGCAGTTCAATTTTGGTACCCCAACCCAACCTCTACTGGCTGGGATCTCCCGGTAGTCCAATCTATCTGCCAACTCAACGTTTTAGACCCAGCCGAATCTCCATCTCATCCTTCCCGTCCCCTCTTCAATCTGAATCCGTTTGCCCACCAAACCCTATGCCTTCGAACTCGATGAATCAAGTCTTATTCTCATATCTAACACTAAGTTTTTTCACCAGAACTTGAGCATTTCATTTGGGAGATTCCAGTATCCAAACGGCATTTAACCTCCACAACTACCGTGCTCTCCCCACCAATTTTTCTTGAGCATTCTCAGAAACCAGCTAGCGTGATTTCACCATCGCAACTCAAACCTCCCATGCTTTCCCACTTATTCCGCAGCAAATGATGGACGATGTGGAGGAGAGGGTCACTCGCCTGCGGCTGGTGCATCAACTCACTTGCCTCCCCACCTCCCATGCCCCCACCTGCTGTCGTAGCAAATGATGGACGATGTGGAGGAGAGGGTCACGCGCCTGCAGCACAAGCGGCACCTGCTCTCACAGATGACCTCAGAGGACGCCCCTCTCCTCGCCTACACCGGTAAGCCCCTCCCCTCTGCTCGCCTTTACTGGCAAGCCCCTCGCCTCTGCTCGCCTTTACTGGCAAGCCCCTCGCCTCTTCTCGTCTCCACTGGCAAGCCCCTCGCCTCTTCTCCTCGCCTGCACTCACCTCCTCTTGATCTCGCTTGCTCACTCCCTGTCCTTTCCACCCCTCGCCTATCCACCTTGTTTGCCTCTCTGTTCCCCCATCCAGGCGGCCTAGCAGCAAGGTTGATGGAGTGTCTGCTAGTGCTACATGCATCATCAGCAGACGAGCTCGCTCATCTCAACCACCACTGGACTCACCTGCCCCACTCTCACTCACTTTCTCCCTGTCCTTTCCACTCTCCATCCCTCATGCCCATCCAGGCGGCATAGCAACGAGGTTGATGGAGTGTCTGCTGGTGCTGCATGCATCATCAGCTGATGACCTGATCATCTGGACCACCACTGGACCGCCTCTCGCTCCCTCGCTGCAGCCAATGTCTCCCCACGCACACGCTCTGTGGCAGGTATGTTGCCTTGCCATGCCACTTCCCGTATTACCTGTCACCATACTGCACCGTGCTGCACCGTGCTGCTGCGCCATTCTGCGTCGTGCCTCACTGTGCCACGCCTTCCCGCCTCTCTTTTGAATGCCCCCAACAGCCAAGCAGCTGGTGGATCGCTGCAGAGAGCTCTTGAACGACTACCCAACCACACTGTCAGCCGATGAGGCACTGCTGGAGCGGCTCAAGGGAGGCGTGGCGAGTGATGAGGAGAGTGAGGGGGTCAGGGGCAGTAAGCATGAGCAGGAGGAAAATTCCAGGCGGCGCATGCAGACAGCAGTGGAGTACCGAGTGGAGGAGAAATGGATCTTTGCAGACGCGGTTGCTCGCTACAGCCGCATGGTAGTGTGAGGCTGGCAGTGTTACCGTACGTCAAGTCGTGACTCGTAAGTACAATCAGCTAGTGCCTCCAACCATATGACGAGCCTGATTGATTGTGTACAATTGCTTCGCAAATGCACGTGGTGGTGGCGTCTTATCAAGGAGCTGTGAGATTGATCCATTAGTGTACCAAACCAGCTTACCAAGACTGACAAGCAGTGTGTAGGATCAGCGAAGTTGTGGTGTCAATGGTCTTGATTGATGTATGTTTTGACAATCCCTTCTCTTTCCGCCATTCTAGATTTGCAACTTGTATGCCTGAGCTGTCAGTAACAAACAGGTGGGCTGCGGAGGTCTTACTTCCATCAACTCGTATGGTTATTAGAACGACAAGACAACAAACCCCATGGAATGGATGGAAAATCCCTGTTAACTGTGAGCTTTGAGCGTTGTCTTAGAGAGCCAGTTTAAACAAAACGTCAACTTAATAACTAGTTTCGGTTATTGCGAACCTTCATCAGTACATACAAGCCTGAGAATAAGAATCTGGAATGAACAATAGATAACTAATTTCGGACTACATACACCCACCGTACGGAGCATTGCCTTTGATTTGGAGCTTGGGATGAAACGGGATACCGGTAGATCTTCAGTGCTGTGTTGGTGAAAGAATTATTGCAATCAAGGAACAGCCACGGCCAAGGCATTCTGGCAGCCACTCTCGGTGGCTAAGTTACTTCCTTCACTGTACCATCGTTTTCACCACACGGTGCGCCCTTCGATCAAGCCGTATGACATTACTGATGAATGGTTGCCACCCGCAGATGTAGGTCTTCCATCCAATTGAGACTTTCATAGCTCAACCCAAACACGCACACTCAAGTGCATGAGTGCTCAAATCAAATTCTGCTGCTGCTTGCTAAGGTAGACAGAGTCATGCTAAGCTGCTATGCTGATGAGCGGACAGAGTCACGCTTAGCTGCTACTTGTGACTGAACCTGCAAATGATGAGGCAAAAAGGGCGTGGATAGGAGAGAACCAACGCAGCATACACCTCAGTAAAAAATAGACTTGTGGCCGCTAGATCAGGGAAACAAAAACAGCAGAAACGTGAACTGATGTACCACGCAGGTGAAAGGAACAATGCTGCTACCTGCAAGAATCAATGCTACCGAATGCATGGTGATTGAGATGCAGATAAGGCTGCATTCAAAACGATTAGCTGCAATTAATCTTGGGCCACCTACCCCTCCATCATCACATACCATACCACATTCCTAGTGCATGCATACCATCGCATACCATACCACATTCCTAGTGCACGCATACCATACCACATTCCTAGTGCATGCATCAGTGGATCGCAGTCTCGGCGGAGTTTCAGGTTAAGCGTCAGATCAAATGCAGGGAATCGTTTATTACACAAGCACACATGCTGCCACATGCATGCACCCATGCCTTCCTGACATGGACCTTTGATTCAAATCAAAGCAACTTTTGGGTCGACTCAAAGCCACTTTAAAGTCGACTCAGAAGCAAAAAAGCTAGAGAGTTGACAAGGAGGGCGCTTACTGTATTCTCATCACGTGAATGTAGCGCTCGTCCTTCCTTAGGATGACGCTAGGAAACTTGGGCTCGTTCACCTGCCACAAGGGCACGCAGACATGTATCTCCCTTCATATAGTGAGTGTGTATACTTTTGAGTGTCCATGCACGCAAAAGGAGATTAGAATGGTTGAGGCAGAACAGGGCGTGACAACAAAGGTAGACTGCTGAATGGACAAGGAGGCTGGCCTTCGAAATTGGAAAGAAGGGATGTTGATTGTGGTTGCATGTGGTCAGGTGGGTGCATGTGAAAAGGTTTTGCCTGGCATATGCAAAGGTCTGTGTCAAGATTGGGATGAGTTTAGCAGCAGGGAGAGGAGAGGCGTGAAGATAGAACGTGTCCATATTCAGTGGTGGTGGAAGCTGTTACTGTGGCGATGTGTCCAGAAGCATTGAACTTATCCAGTGGCGGTCAAGGGTGCTACGATGTGTCCAGATATGACGAACGCATTCAGTGGCGGCAGAGGTTGATAGCAATGCGTCCAGATGCAATGGACTTTGTACCGCGTTGGGGAAACCCTGCAAAAAAAAAGCAAGGAGGAGACAGAAACATCCAGGGGTACAGAGTGGTAAAGAGATGTTCAGAATGGTATGGGTCTGTGGAGGAAGCAGCATATCATGAGACACTGTGCAGATGTGCTCATGACATTGGATAGTAGAAGCGGTGAAAAGATATCCATGGAAAGGAATTGATGATAAGATGTAACCCACAGCATTTAAACAGGCTGACCTGTGTTTCAAGACAGAAGCCTGCATGCTGCTGATAAGCTGTTCCTCCCTTCCCTGCCACCCGCTCACACACAAGCAACGCGATGTAATGCCATGTATTGTCAGAAGGAGAACGCCTGGATAAATAATAATCAAGGCCATCTAATTCTCAGAGAGTCACACGGGCATGCTATCCGGAAATCAGGGTTAAACTCGGAAAACGGACAGGGTTGCCGCACCTTTGAACGAACCATCTAGGAAGTTGCCTGTGTAGAACTGCATGGCAGGGGCATTAGTGGACAGGGTCATAACGATGCCTGTTTCCGGGTGCCGCACTCGGGCAGCCAGAAACAATTTCTGCCCTTCCACCACTTCCCCTGCTGCTTCATCTTCATTTGTCCCCCCACCCGCCGTTCTTCCTTCCGTTCCTTCTGCTCCTGCCTCTTCCCCAGTCACCAGATGTTCCCTGCTCCATGTGTGTGTGCTGTGCAACACGTAGTTGTGATCGTACCCGCCTGCCACGTCACCCATGCGTGCACCAATCGGGAACTCCCTTGAGAGGAAGTCAAAAGGGGTGTCCGCTACCTGTGATGCAATGGTGGTGGGAGTTGGTTTGGAAAAGAAAAGAAAGGGCAGCAGCAAAGTGGTTCAATGATCCTCTCAAAAGCAGCTAAATTAGGCAGGTACCTTCGAATAATGGTTCAAGGGTCTAAAATTGCTCCCAGAGAAGCTGGTTCTAGACCTTCGATCGATCTAAGTTGAAATCAAAATTTAGGAATTCTCAAAAGCGATCTATTCTTTGGGTCTAGAAAATTGTCTCCAGAGCAGCTGCACGTGGGAGTCAGAGCAGCTGCACCTGGGAGTCAGAGCAGCTGCACGTGGGAGTCAGAGCAGCTGCACGTGGGAGTCAGAGCAGCTGCACCTGGGAGTCAGAGCAGCTGCACGTGGGAGTCAGAGCAGCTGCACGTGGGAGTCAGAGCAGCTGCACCTGGGAGTCAGAGCAGCTGCACGTGGGAGTCAGAGATGCCATGCTAGAGAAGGCGTACCGGCAGGATTTCACCCGTGGGAATATGGTTGGCATTGATTGGCGTGTAGTGGGACGCGTTGACCCGCACAACGTGGTCGTGCACTGTTCCACTGGCATGGCCGCCCAAATTCCAATACCTGCCGTGATGTGGGAAGTGGGGAGGGGGCGGGTTTGGTCGTGTGGGTGGCAAGGGGATGTGGATGGAGCGACTGGGAGAGGGTTGTGGTTGGGGGTTGTGGTTGGGGGTTGTGGTTGGGGGTTGTGGTTGAGACAGTGGCGTTAGAGCTGATACAATATGGAACCAAGAACACTGAAAAACGATTGGTTGGAATCGCCCTATACCCGCTTTGCAGGGATGGCATAGATGTGGCGTGCCATACACACATGTGTTGTGCCTTACACACATGTGATGCGGCAGACACACATGTGATGCGCCATACACACATGTGATGCGCCATACACACATGTGATGCGCCTTACACACATGTGATGCGCCTTACACACATGTGATGCGCCATACACACATGTGATGCGCCATACACACATGTGATGCGCCTTACACACATGTGATGCGCCATACACACATGTGATGCGCCTTACACACATGTGATGCGCCATACACACATGTGATGCGCCTTACACACATGTGATGCGCCTTACACACATGTGATGCGCCTTACACACATGTGATGCGCCTTACACACATGTGATACGCCTTACACACATTTGATACGCCTTACACACATGTGATACGCCTTACACACATGTGATACGCCTTACACACATTTGATACGCCTTACACACATGTGATACGCCTTACACACATGTGAGACGCCTTACACACATGTGATACGCCTTACACACATTTGATACGCCTTACACACATGTGATACGCCTTACACACATGTGATACGCCTTACACACATGCGATACGCCTTACACACATGTGATACGCCTTACACACATGTGATACACCTTACACACATGCGATACGCCTTACACACATGTGTTGCGCCTTACACACATGTGTTGCGCCGTACACACATGTGATACGCCTTACACACATGTGATACGCCTTACACACATGCGATACGCCTTACACACATGTGTTGCGCCTTACACACATGTGATACGCCTTACACACATGTGATACGCCTTACACGCATGTGATACGCCTTACACACATGTGATACGCCTTACACACATGTGATACGCCTTACACACATGTGATACGCCTTACACACATGTGATACGCCTTACACACATGTGATTCGCCTTACACACATGTGATACGCCTTACACACATGTGATACGCCTTACACACATGTGATGCGCCATACTGACAGGAGCATCCCTGTCAACAGCATGTGCCGCCTTCCCCACCACCATGTCCCCATCACCCACCAGCCTGTAGCTCACCCTAGGAGTGCATATCAGTTTCCCTTATGCACCCAAACACGCACATGTGATGTGCCATACTGACGGGCGTGTCCCGGTCAACAGCATGAGCCGCCATGACCACCAGCATCTCCCCATCGCCCACCAGCCTGTAAGTCACCCGCACCTCCACCCGCCCTGGGAACCCCTCCTCCCCGTCCCCACTCGCCAGCGCCAGATTCAACTCCGTGCTACTGCCTGATGATTCAGATGCTCTTTCCTCCTCCTCTGCTGCTGCTGCTCCTGCTGATGATGATACAGCGGATCCTATTTTGTCAAGTTCATCCTTGCCCACCACACGCCATATTCGCTTGTCAAATCCCACTTTGCCACCTGTCAGCAGAAACATGTTCAAGTTTGCCAAGCAGAACAAACATGGCATCCCATTAGACTCCCTTAGTGCATGTCAAGTTTCAGCACAGTGAAATCGCAGATAACATATGAATCATGCTCACACATCTATCCCTCCCTGGCTCTCATGCAAGCATGCATGCTCGCACACACACACGCACCATGATCCTCGCTCACCCCTCACCATGCAGTGTGTTCGGGCGAGGGCCATCGTTAGCCGTCAGATGGTGGATCTGACCGTCCAGATTGAATTGAGCTCCTGCAATGCGATTGGCCACTCGGCCAACCACACAGCCAAAGTATGGCGATGTCCCATCCTGCACCATGACATAGCAACATGAAGAAGTAAAAACAAACGAAGAAAAATTCCAACAAATAATTGCTGGTTATCATATTACTTCCTGAATTTGTTTGTTTGACGATGAGCAAGGAGCTTAAGCAAGAGGATACTGGCACATATGCTCACTTGTACCCCATATGGTAGCAAACACACTTGTTAACCGGAAACATACCACAATGTACAACGTTAATAACCGATTGCATGGCTTATCGTTTTCATGACTGCCAATGCTACTAGAACTGCCAATGGTACTAGAACTGTACAGTGCAATGAATGCTTGCACCTGGTAAGGCTGCTATTACCTGGTAAGGCTGCTATTACCTGTTAAGGCTGGTAAGCCTTGCATTACCTGGTAATGCTTCTATTACCTGGTAAGGCTGAGCGGTGTCGAAGCCAAGAACAATATCATGCAGCTGACCTGAGGGAGGGTGAGAAAGGGAGAGAGAGGCCGATAGAAATGAGGGAATGTCAGCGGTGCAGCGAAGGGAGAGATAGAGGGAAGACGATAAACGGCAAGAGAGGGAGATTAGCGATGAGAGGGAGATTAGCGATGAGAGGGAGATTAGCGATGAGAGGGAGATTAGCGATGAGAGGGGGAGCCAGGAAAACGAAGTCTATGAAGGGAGTGCGGGAACGATGCCAGAAAATCTATACGATGGTAAGGTGGGGAATTGGAAAACGTGGAGGGACGGAAAAGGATATGAGAATTCGGAGCGAACCGTGTGAATCTGGAACGGTAAGGCTGGTGACAGTGGCGCCAAGGTTGGTGATGGTAGCTGTGAGGCCCCCGCGCTGCAGCTTGAAGAGCCTCACGTCGGGGTCCGGCGAAAATGCTGGCGACGAGATGTCGCTCGCCATTGACAAACGCGCAACCGTCAGAACGATGTACGCGGCGAAGCTATTGACAGTACTTTTTGGACCAGATGTGAGGAATGACCACTGGTTTCAGGAAGGGAATGAATTGATAGGGGGAACTGAGGACACGGATTGGAATTTGGAGCACCAGCCAGCTGCATATGGCATTGTACGCGTTAGTGTTGAGCAGATTCTCCTTGCGAAGGAAAATCGGCTAAAATGGCAGTGCGATCTGAATTCGGAGAATTAAAAGACGTATTCCCTAATAAATGGTCAATTCTGACTGAAGAGAAAGCGTTATATGCAGCGTCGCGTCACAATAACGATTCCCGCGCGAATACAAGCCCAGCGCAAATCCCAAGGCGGATGAATGCTGTTCTCTCAACTTCCATGTGCTGCAGTATTTCTGAACTCTGGGAAGTACCTTCACATTCACCACTCATTCATACTTCTGAACCGAAATATGAAGCTCTAAAACCCCATGATATTCCCCCTATCTCCTGTGGACACCAACAGCAGCGCAGAGACACGAGTTTTCCACTACCAGTCGCTGATCATCCTCATTCCTTGTCTGCCTCTACTATTTTCTGATAACTACCTCCCAGAATCGCCGCGGATCGTCAGGTGTCTCAAGCTGATATGACAAAGCCGCGTCCGTACAACCTGAACAGTCAAGAGATGTTGCCTGCGAAACAGTCGGACGCTGTTTAGAAGAAACAAGTGATCTGTAGAACTCGAACCATTGAATGAAATCGGTGACGTCAGGTCCAATACGGTTCCGATCCCGCATCGCCGGCATGCGTTGAGAAGCCTAACCAGGGAACTAACAGTTTTTGTCTGTATTCATAGCTATGCACCTATGGAGAACCGCAGGTGACCTTGGAGTCGTCTCGAAAGGCATCTAGCCAGATATTTAACAGCTCTGTCGATCATGACGGTCATGCATCTACCGAAGACCACAGGTGGCTTCGCGCTTCCGCACTCTCCTCCTCGCCATTCGCGCCGCGCGTTGCTCCGCCATCGGCGGCAGCGATGCATGGTCCTGCTGGTGGTCGCGTGTGTGCTCGTCGTCATGCTGCTCTTCGTCTCCCTCCACCTGCCGTCTGTAGATTCACTCCTGCCACGTGGCAAGCAGGTAATGGACGTTATTATATGACAGAGTCGTTGTCAGATAGTTTTCCAAGCTAATCCAATGACCGATCGTCATGGCTTGTAAGTCGAATTCAAATTAAGCCGAGCAGTAATGAACTAGGAACCCACGACGTAGTTGACACAAACGCTTTTCGAAATCAACAGGATTCGTCTACGTCTCCCTATCCGTCCCACCTGATCGCTTCGCAGGCTACTCCTTCGCCCGCGGCCCCTCAATTTACGCAGAAATCCAACAGCGTCGCAAACAACGGCTCACAGGTCGCTACGATCCGTCTCCCTCCTGTCCGTCCGTTTCAAATCGTCCAAGCACTTCACTGCCGACACCCGCAATCCTGCATCCCATCCGTCTTCCTCTGCTCCCAACGCCCCATTCCTGCGCTTCCGCTTCCCGTTTCCTCATCCCCCCACACCCCTTACCCGTCCACCTTCCCCCCCTCTCCTTTCTCCTTCTGCCAGCCATCCATCCGCGTGGCCCTCGCCACTCTCCGCGCCGATCCGACGTGGCAGCAGCTGCTGGATCCCGACTCCGCGGTGCGCCAGCTCAGCGACCAGATCAGCCTGGGGAAGGCGTATCTGGCACGCGCGCGCGATGCGGGGGAGAGGGAGTTCGGCGACGAGATGGAGCGGGGCGTGCGAGCCGCAGAGGCGTTCCTCGCTCGCTCCATTGCTATTACGAGGTGCGGCATTGTAGACGCACTCTTCTTTATCACTGCTCGCTTCCCTATTATCGTTGCTCATTCCTCAGTGTCAACTCTTCTCCACTTCACTCTACTTCTCCACCACCCCATACGTTTCAACTCCGTCCTATTTTCACCATCCCAGTCAAGCACTTCGAATAGTGCAAGCGCATGCTAATAACACAGTTCTTTATCAAGAGCTGACTTATGGTACACGTCTCCCTCTTTGACCACCCTCTTCCTCCTGCCACCAGCCAAGCAGTGTACAAGCAAGAGGCGCGGGCACACATAGCGAACATGAGCGCGCTCATTCTTCAGGCCAAGGAGATGCACTATGACATGTGAGTGGGGCATGTGAGTGACATGTGGGTGGGGCCATGTGAGTTACATGTGAGTGGGGCAGCATGACTTGTGAGTGGGGCAGCATGACATGTGAGTGGGGCAGCATGACATGTGAGTGGGGCAGCATGACATGTGAGTGGGGCAGCATGACATGTGAGTGGGGCATGTGAGTGACATGTGAATGAGTGACATGTGAGTGCAGCGGTAGCGCATGCGAGTGGTGGTGTGTGTGTGTTTCCCTGGTTCCAAACGTCGAAATATTCTAAACTGAAGGTGCCTGTTTAGAGATGTCGCAAAGCTCAAGAGTGTTCTCCCTGTTCTGAAGCGCCTCAACACTCAAAATCATACTGCCCTCCACCCCTCTCGCACTGTTCAGAGCGGCGGCAATGGCAGCGCTCAAGGAGAAAGTGGCCAAGGCAGAAGAGAAGGCATCCAAGGCATCAGCGCAGTCCACTCTCGCCTCTCAGGTGCGCTCTGGTGACCTTGAAGCTGAGTTGGGATCAGTCCATATGTTGTGTCCTCCCATCAGGGCCTGCCTTTACCTGCATCTATCTCCCAAGCACCATGTACGAATTTGCTGCTGTTCACCGCACTGCACCCCTCCATCCCCTTCCAGGTGGTATTGGAGTCGATGCCCAAGCCCATGACGTGTCTGTACATGCAGTTGTCTTTGAGAGGACACCTCATCACCACCCTTTACCACACTCCATCCCTCATCCCACCACCAGGTGGTATCAGAGTCGATGCCCAAACCCGTGACGTGTCTGTACATGCGGCTGGCGAGGGAGTGGGCTCTGCAGCACTCTTCTGCGGTCTATGACGAGGCTGTACCCGCGTCTATCTGAGGCACCTTTCACCACCATGCTTCACTGCACTGCACCCCCCCATCCCGCCTCTAGGCAGTATCAGAGTCGATGCCCAAGCCCATGACGTGTCTGTACATCCGGTTGCCTTTGAGGATACCTCATCACCACCCTTCACCGCACTCCACCCATCCATCCCGCATCCAGGTGGTATCAGAGTCGATGCCCAAGCCCATGACGTGTCTCTACATGCGGTTGGCCAGGGAGTGGGCTCTGCAGCACTCCTCTGCTGCACACGGAGGAATGGACGCCGACACACACCCCTTCCAAATACACCACAGCCTGGTGGGTTGCACGCGCCTCTCTGCTGCACCTACCACTGCCACACTAAACAGTGCCGCACCTAGCAGTGTTGCACCTAGCACCTAGCATGAGCAGTGCTTTTGAGACGTCTCGAAAGCAGTGAGCAATACATACCTGAGCCCATTATTCAGCAGCAATGTGCTGCTCATTTCGTCTTTGTCTCCTTGGTCCTTCCAATGTCCATGCACATGCAACAGCTCTTGCTTTTGAGGATTCTCAGAAACAACCAAGAGTGAGAGCTGTGGGACACTTGCCTGGGGACTCTCAGTCTATCACTCATGCCGCTGCCCTCTTTGACCCACACCACTGCCCTCTTTGACCCACACCACTGCCCTCTTTGACCCACACCACTGCCCTCTTCTCTTCTTCTCCCAGCCTCCAGGCACGCCTAACAGCTCTCGTTTAGTAGACACCATACTGCAGCACGTGTGTATCTTCAGTCACAACGTGCTGGCCGTGTCTGCTGCTCTCAGCTCCAATGTGCTCTCCTCCCATCTGCTTTGCTCTCAACGTAATGAATTCACAACCCACTGCCCTCTTTTCCTCCCTTCTGCCAGCCCCCAGGCTCGCCCAACAGCTCCTGTCTGGTCGACACCTTACTGCAGCACGTGTGCATCTTCAGTCACAACGTGCTGGCCGTGTCTGCTGCCCTCAACTCCTCTGTGCTCGCCCATCATTTCTGAGGCCTCTCAAAAGCCCACCACCTGCTGTTCTCTCAACTTCGCAAATCCACACTCCACCGCCCTCTTTCTCTCCCTTCTGCCAGCCCCCAGGCACAGCCAACAACTCCCGCCTGGTCGACACGTCGCTGCAGCACCTGTGTATCTTCAGCGATAATGTGCTGGCCGTGTCTGCTGCTCTCAACTCCACCGTGCTCTCATCTCACGACCCCTCGCGCCTGGTCTTCCACATTGTCACCGACGCCACCTCCTTCCCAGCCTTTGTGGTGAGAAGAGATGACTCCCGGCATGTGCGCTCTTTGATGAGTGGTGCTGAGTTCTAAGTTTACCTGTTTTGATGTGCCACAATTCACGCCTGGTCTTCCAAGTCATCACCGATGCCACCCCCTCCCTTCGCCCACACAGCTGTGGTTCTCCCGCCACCTGCCGTGCGGCGAGTGAAGGGCAAGCGAGTGCAGGTGTGTTACCTCGCGTTTCTGATAAAATCTCCAATAATCACCTTTCCTCTTCTCCTGTTCCCCCACCCCACACCCACAGGTGTGGTTCTCCCGCCACCCGCCTGGCCTGGCGTCACTGGAAGTGCGCCGGGTGGAGGGCGAGAGCGGGAATCGTTGCAGAGTGTTCGTGAAGCTGTCAAAGGACCACACTTTCATCCCCTTCCCCTGCTCTCCAGGTGTGGTTCTCCCGCCACCCGCCTGGCTCGGCATCGCTGGAGGTGCGGCGGGTGGAGGGCGAGAGCGGGTGGCTGAACGCGTCCTTTGCGCCCGTGCTCAGGCAGATGCAGGACGCCCATGCCAAGAGCTTCTATTTCTCCGCTGCTGCTGCTGTGAGTGCATTGGGGAAGATTGGGCTGTGTTGTGGATGGGTGAGTATGGGAGCACTGGGGGTGCTACGGCAGATGCAGGACGCCCATGCCAAGAGCTTCTATTTCTCCGCTGCTGCTGCTGCTGTGAGTGCAGGGGGGAGAGCTGGGAGGGAGGGGAAGAGCTGGGAGAGATTCAGGAGGGGGAGGGGGAGGGGGAGGGGGAGGGGGAGGGGGAAGGGGAAGGGGAGTGGGGGAAGGGGAAGGGAAGGGGAAAAGGAGCGGGCTGTGTGGGCGCTTTGGGTTCTGCGGCAGCTTCTAATTGCCCGCTGCTGCTGACTTGAGTGGAAAAAGGGGGGAGGTGCATGCTGAGGCGTGATGGGGGGTCATGAGGGGTGATGTGGGTTAATGGGAGGAGATGTCAGGTGTTGAGGGGTGATAAAGTTCTTGTTAGAAAAGTTGGGGTTGCACCTCAACTCCAAATTCTGTCAATAACTTAATCACCCATTTTGTATTCTTTCAGTTGCACGCACCCAGACACACATCCAACCCCCCCTCCTCCCCCCCACAGGGCGAGGGCAGCAGCGACCCCATCAAGTTCCGCAACCCCAAGTACATGTCCCATCCCTCCCCTTCCCTCCCCTTCCCTCCCCTTCCCTCTCCACCAAACAACCCCCCCCCACACACACACAGGACGAGGGCAGCAGCGACCCCATCAAGTTCCGCAACCCCAAGTACATGTCGCTGCTCAACCACCTGCACACCCAACCCACACACACAACCACTCCCCACCCAATACACACACACCCTCAACCCACAGGGCGAGGCAAGCGACCCCATCAAGTTCCGCAATCCCAAGTACATGTCGCTGCTCAACCACCTGCGCTTCTACCTGCCCCTCCTCTTCCCCGCACTGCACCGCATCCTCTTCCTCGACGACGATGTCATCGTGCAGAGGGACCTCTCTGCTCTTTATTCCCTTGACATGAACGGGTGCGTTCTGCTTCCGCCCTTGCCTGCACTTCTTCTGCCCCCCCATTCTCTCTTTCCTTCCCCACGTTGCACCGCATTCTCTTCCTTGACGGTGACGTCATTGTTCAGCGAGACCTCTCTTCCCTCTTAGCCCTCGACATGAACGGGTGGGTTCCAGCCTTGCGTGCACTACACTCTTTATGCTGTTCCTTCTCTCCTCTTCACCGCGCTGCACCGCAATCTCTTCCTCCAAGAGGATGTCAACGTGCAACGAGACCTCTCTGCTCTCTTCTCTCTCAACATTAACGGGTGGGTTCATCTTCTGTCTGGACTATCATGGGTGTGCTCTGCTCTCTTGATGCATGTGCAAACTCATCGTTCAGGGTTGCTTTCACAAAATCATGTATCCCTATCCGCCTCAATGCCTATCATAGCTGTTTGGGTGCAAGGGGTCGTTCCACTGCTTCCACTGCTACCTCGACTCCACAGCCACTCCTCTCCAGTCTCTGACAAACACAACTTGTGGCTCCTTCAGTTGGCCCCCGTCTCCCCTACTGCCCCCTCCCTTCCCCCCATCAGTGCCGTGAACGGAACAGTGCAAACATGCAAGGGGTCGTTCCACCGATTCGTTACCTCAACTTCACAGCCACTTCGCTCCAGTGTCTGGCCTTACAACTGTTCTTGCCTTCTCTTGTTGTCCCCCCACTCTCTCCCATCAGTGCCGTGAACGGTGCAGTGGAGACGTGCAAGGGGTCCTTCCACCGCTTCCACCGCTACCTCAACTTCTCTGACACTCGGCTGAGAGGACGCTTTGACCCCGAGGGCTGTGCGTGGGCATATGGCATGAACGTGTTCGACCTGGATGGGTGGCGGCAGGCCAATGTGACTGCCATGTATCACTACTGGCAGGAGCAGGTGAGTGGGGAATCGAGAGAAAAGGCACACAAAGCTTGGGTTTGTGGTAACTTACATGGCATATACCTGCTTGATATGAACGTGTGCTCCTGGTCTGCAATCTACCCTCGCATGCCATGGCTTGTTCGTTTTGTTTTATTTTGTTTTGTCATTTGGCATTGGCTTGCAGAATGTTGACCATTCATTGTGGAAGCTGGGAACGCTTCCGCCAGGCTTGCTGGCCTTCAACGGGCTCACACATCCCATCGACCCATCGTGGCATGTCCTTGGGCTTGGCTACAATCCCCATTTGGACACGACAACTATTTCGAAGGCAGCGGTTATACACTGGAATGGTAACCAGAAGCCATGGCTGAAGATTGCTTTGCCAAACTATCGGAGCCTATGGACTAAGTACGTAAATTTTGATGATCCGTGGCTTTCAGACTGCGGTGTAACATGATGTAGGATCTCCATTGGCATTATATTGTGTATGGCATCTCGCTTATTTTGTGTATGCTGCTGCAAATATGTGAACGGGCTCGAAGCCTGGAAAAGCGTGTGTTTGTAAGGAGGATCGCATGTTCCGCGTGGTTGGACCAACCCGTGTCACATGAAAATGCTGCGCAAGCAGGAATAGCACCCTTGAAAAGTCCCGCACATTGCGGCTGGCCTGATTGTTCGGTAATCGTGCGGTTCGGCTGACAGAACTAGTCCCGCCGCGCGCCCACCTTCAATTGAGCGACACGTCCGAACTGAAGCAACGGACACCGCAGCGCGCATTTATAAATTCCTCTGACAAACCGCCAGCACTGGGCAAACGTGCAATGACTTTTGTGATTGCCTGCAGTGAGAGATCATGCATCTATGGAACTACAGACCCCCAGAGCTGTTTCGCATAAAAGCACCGTACTACTAGCACCCCCAATCAGACTTAACCGATAGCATTGAGCTTTTGTCAACACGTTTCCCTTCCAGTTTGAATTGAATGAGGTCAACCTTCCCATCCCATGCAAACGCCCCACCGTCTCTTAGCAAATACAGTATCCGTTGGCTTTGCGTCACATTCCTCCATTGACTTTTCCGAAGCTTGTGCTTCCTATCATCCGCCTTACACGAGATTACTGAGGGTTGAGCTGTCCTTGCAATCCTGTACTTCCGTTCCGAGTCTTGAACCCGCTGCGAAGTCAAGAAGCTAGGACCGCTTTAGATATCCGAAGTCCTAATGCACCAGTTGTGATTAGAACCATACATAACATTTCTTGACATCACACTCCCCGTTTAGAGAGGTAAACCAGAAAGAGAACGCGTAGTAATAACTTAACTTCGTCTCTTGAGAAGTAGTAATACGCCAGGAGATATGGCGGGAAGCCATCCAATGCCGGCGGACGAGGAGGAATTTCACGACGCCATCCACGCAAACGCCATGCTCAATGCGGCAGAGGATTTCAAGCCGTCCGATTACAGCAACATCATCCGACGGTATTCGCACCTCGGGGCCACGCACCCGAGTAACCCGCTCGCTGTCGCCAAAGCCGGCGAAGAGGATAAATCCGCCGGGGGGAAGACGCGCCGGTCGCAGTCCACGGGCGGAGGCGTGAAGAAGGGCAAGGGGTCATCTGTGGCATCGACGCTCGGGCGCGCGGCGGCGCGCGTCGGAAGGACGCTGGGCGCGAAGGGCGGGTCGCTGGCCAAGTCCAAGTCTGCCGTGGCGCCCATTCAGGTGGCTTTAATCGCAGCCAAGTCTAGACCGAAACCTAGCTAATTTGGAAATGAGAGGGGAGTAAAATGAGGGGTGCCGCTAGGTTCCTACAAAAGCTTCCCGTCCAAGCGTTGAGGCCTTAGATAACCGCAACTGCGGAGATAGTCCGCTGGCAGCACAATCTGTGCGAGTTGTCTCAGAACTAAGCGACGCGGATATGCCAAAGTCGAAGCGCGAAACCTGTCGATGGTGGATGTAGAGTCTCCCGCTTTACTGCTGACAGTGGTTGATACAGAATCGTTCCTCATTCCCGGTCATCTCCCATTTCCCAGTCTTCTCTCGTTCCTCACACGCGTACATGTACCGACTAGCTCATCTCGCTCTTCTTTCCGTGTGCCCCTCTCTCCGCCCCTGCTAGCAGTCCGACGACGAGTCATCCAAGGTCTCCGAGCAGCCGTCGATTCCCATCGTCCTGCAACCCTTCATGGGATCGTACGGTTCAGAGGTAACACCGGGCGTTTCCATTCTCGTTTTTCGCGATCATGCAATTAGGGCGCTTAACTTGTACGACGGTATTTTGGACCTTGAGATCGGTCTGCATGATTGCAGCTGTATTTCCGTCAGCTGACGAGTTTACCCTCAGGTGGTGCTTCATACTATCCCTGTTGTCCCTGTCTAACTCATTCTTAATTTCTTTCTCAATCCACACCTGTCTATATTCCCTGCTTCCCCCCTGTGCTCCGCCGTGTGACCCACCGAACCTACTTTTCCGGACAACGCCGAACCTGCTCTCCCCATCGACTCCGCCGAGCCTCAACAGAAGCAGTCAGAGGTGGTGAGTCACGCCCCAATGCATCTGCTCCCAATACAATGCGCATTCCACGCCGCATCCAGCTGAACCGAGCCACGATCTGCCGTTCGACCGGCCCCGTCTCACGCGCTGACCGCTTGTCCGTCCGTTTTGAGATATTTTAAAAGACGCACATTCCATTCCATGCCGCGCTGCCACGTGGGACCATATCATGCCGTGCAACCGGCATCTCACGCGCTGACCCTTTTTCCGTCCAACCAACGGCGCGTGCGTGCAGACGAAGCAGCTCCAGGAGGAGAATCGACGGCTGCGGGAGAGGATCGCGATGCTGGAGGCTATTCACGCCGAGGTGCGACGGGGAACAGGGGGAGGGGGGAGATTGGGGAGATGGGGAGGAGTAGAGACGCAGAGGGAGCATAGGGGAGAGACTCTGAGTGCGAGTGCATGCGGGAAGAGCTTTCAGGCAGGAAGGCAGAGGGACTTGGAGCTCTGGCCTCGTGTATCCCGTCATAGTTTATCCGTTTCCTTCTTCCCGCGCGTTCACGTATCTCGTTCCGCCTCCCCCTCTCTCGTCGTCGTTGTTGCGGGAAGGAGTATAACGCGCCGACGTAGCGCGCTGTCACTTACCTTGCCCTCCCCCTCTCGCCTTTCTCTGCGTGATGCGCCGTACATGTCGCATCTTTCGCATGTGTCGCAGGAGGCGGAGGAGGGCGACGACTTGGCGCGCCATCGCGTGCGAATGCTCAAGTCGTCAAACCTGCAGCTCGAACACCAGGTGAGCGCGCTTTTTCTGTGACGTCTAATTGATTCACTCATATCAGGTGAGCGCGCTTATAATGCATCGCTTTGTCGCCTATGTGTCGCTTATGTAGCTTCTAGCGCTCTACCTTTCTAGAGGGGCCTTTATCAGAAGCATTCTCTTATGTCACAGAAACGTCGTCACCTCATGCCGTCTGCCCCTTGCCTTCCGTCTCTCTTCCTGCGCATCGTGTCGCGTTTTGAGTCGACTCGAAACTTCCCGTCTGCCTTCCCCTCTGTCTCTCTTCCTGCGCATCAAGCCGCTTGTCAGGAAACTTATCCGTGTCTCCTTTCCCCCTGAACTTCATTCCTCATTTTTCCCCTTACCCCTTCTCCCCCCAACAGCTGCTAGCGTCCGAGTCCGCGTCGCTGACAGCCAAGGCGATCCGCAACGAGCTGCTGAGCGCCATGGACCATCTGTGCCCATCTTCCCCCTTTCCTCCCTTCTTCTCTCCCCGCTTTCCATCCTCCCCGCCCCGCAGCTGCTTGCCTCCGAATCCGCTTCACTGACCGCCAAGGCAATTCGCAACGAGCTGCTGAGCGCAATGGACCATCTTCACCGCACCGTCGGCGCGCTGCACGTACGCGCGGGGGAGGACGAGGCGGAAGGGGGTGAGCAGGCGGAAGGGGAGAAGGCGGAAGCGGAATGCGCGGTTGGCGCGGGCGCGGCTGAGATGGGGAATTCGCAGGCGGGAACGCTGGACCAGTCGCTGTTGCCAGCTGCCGCGATCTCATTGGACGACGCGCAGCATGCCGCGGCGCAGGAGGAGAAGGGGAGCGCAGGCGCAGCGGCAGCCGCGGTGGCGAAGGGGGTGAGCAAAGTCGGCGCGGCGCAGCAGCCGCTGACGCGGCGAAACTCGTTCGGGGGCCGCGGCTCCGCCGCCCTCGCTTCCGCCGCCCGCCCCAGCACCCCCACCGGCCGCGGCACCTCGTCGTTCGCTAGCGGCTCGCCACGTGCCACGACCCCGCGCGCCACGTCCTCCGCCGGAAAGGGGAGCGCGTCGCCCACGGTGGGCGCACGGCGCGGTGGCCCGGCGGTGGGCGCGGCGGGGAGCGCGGGGAAGGGGAAGACCGGTGGCGGAAGCTTTAATGCGCGCGGGTGGGGAGTCGGCCCGGGGAAGCGGAACGGCGCAAACAATAAAACTGCGGACAAGAAGACCGCCGCATCCGGCGCCGTGAATGACGGAGACGGCGGCATGGATTTGACCTCTACGGGGAGCCGCAGCGCGAGCCTGAAAGACGGGCCGCTGGTGCTCGACCCCTCTATAGTCACATCGTCTGCTGTCTCCACCCCTATGGGCACGCCGCGCGCGGGGAGCACTCCCGCGGGGAGCCCGTTCGGCGCGCCGCCGGCCGCGGCAGCCACTCCGGCGCCGACGCTTGGCAGCCTGCTGGCCGCGTCGGGCCAGGTGGCGATCGCGAAGGAGAAACTCGAGGAGCTCGCGATGTGGAGCAAAGAAGCGCGCGAAAAGGTTCTGATGCTGCTGCCCGCTCCCGGCGGAAAGATTGGCGAGCTGCCCAAGGCGGAGGACGCGGAAGCAGCGGGGGAAGCGGGCGGAGCGGAGAAGACGAGCATGAAGGCGATGGGCGCGCCGGAGCTGCCGTGCGCGGGGAATCGATTCATGGCGACCAACGAGGACGGCGATCCCGTCGCGGGGATCGCGGCGAACCTCTGCCGCTCCATCGAAGGTGCGCGCGCCGCCCTCCCTTCCGTGTCCCACCCATCCCCACCCTCTTCGCCCGGCTCGTTAAATGCAGCTGCTTCACGATTCGTGGTTGTGCGTGGGTTGCCCGACTGTACGAAGCGGAGAAACGGGAAAACTTTTTTTTTTTTTTTTTTCCCCTGTCCTCTCGTGTGCTTTTCTTCACGTTTTCTTTCCCCGCTCTCTCCATCCACTCCCAGGGTCCGCGCCGCTGCTGGAGTATGCGCGCGTGCACGAGCTGGAGGGGCGGCTGGCAGACCTCCACCCGCGCCTGCTGGCGCTCTCGTCGCTCCTCGATCATGTCGTCTTCCCCAGCCTCCCCGCCGAGGTGCGCTGCGATGCATGTTCTTTTTCAAAATTTATCGAAAAGGAAACACTTCGTTTCGGTGTAACCACTGTACACCAGCGAAATTGTGCTAAATGCTTGTACTCAACCACATGTTGTTCAGCACTATTTCTTGCTGAACTCGACCTTCCCCTCAGCCTTCTCCCTGTCACCCTTCCCTCTGCTCCCCCTTCCCTCTCCCCTCTCTGTTGTCCCTCCCTTTTTGTCTTCTCACCCTCACTGCCGCCAATCTCCCCCCTCCTCTCTGCCGCCCACAGACGTCCAGCGCAGTGCTTCAGGAGATCCGCGTCGCCATTGCTGACGTGTACGACACCACGCGCGCGCTCTCCGAGCTGGCGGCGCTCGTGCCAGCTGGCGCGCAGCTATTCGGCGTGGGGACCGGGGAGAGCCTGATGGTGGCTGCAGCAGCAGCCAGGGCGGAGGAGGGAGGAGGAGGAGGGGGGGAGGGAGAGATGATGGAGGTGCAGCAGAGGCTGGAGTGGGAGAGGGAGAGGAGGAGGAGGGAGGGAGTGAGTGTGGCGGACCTCCCTTCGGTGGAGCAGCTGCTGACAGCAGGCCTTGCGGGGATTATGGGGGAGGGGGGAGGCTTTGGGGGTGGAGAGGCGGGGGAGGGGGCGCGGGGGGAGGTGCAGGCGCGGGTGGCGGAGGTGGTGGGGAGGTGCCGCAAGGTGGAGGCGCTGTGGCGAGCCGAGATGTCTGGGCTGCAGGAGGAGATGGGGTTCTACCGCGGCTGCCACGCTGCTCAGGTGCGTGCAGTGCTGTGCGGTTCTTTGCTGTGCTTTCTGGTGATGTGCTCTGTTTATGCTCCTCCTGCTCGAAATCCCTTCAGCTCCTAGCTGGATAGATTTCTGAAGTTCCCACCATTCCTGTTTACTTCCTCGCTGCCTGCCTCCCTCTGTTTTTTTTATTCTAAAGAGTGCCTCTCTCTTGTTTTGAGACGTCTCAAAACACGTTTTTTTCTTTAATTCTCTAGAGTGCCTCTCTCCTCCCTCCGCCATGTGCCCTGCATATATCTGCCTGTGTCTTCCACCCACCCATACGCCCACTGCACAGGCATCACACATGAAGCAGATAGCGTCGGCAGACAGTGCTGCTGGATGCGCTGCAGACAGTGCTGGGTGACGCCCACGAGACCATTCAGATGTATTTTCAGTCCACTCAAAACACTCTGTGGATGCATCTGTTTCCCTTCCACCTATCCTCCCATGCGCCCATGGCACAGGCATCACACGTGAAGCAGATAGCATCGGCAGCCAAGGATGCGCTGCAGACAGTGCTGGCGGCGATGCACATGAGATTGACCAGGTGTATTCAACAAGCAACTATAAAAACTCCATGCGCATGCATGCATGCATGTGTACACCCATCCTTCCATCCACCCATTGGTCAGGCATCACACGTGAAGCAGATAGCAAGCGCAGCCAAGGACGCGCTGCAGGCTGTGCTGGGCGACGCACATGAGATCGTTTCTGCTGCCGCCACCTCCATCCAAAAGGTGCTGCTGCTGCCGCCGCTTGCTGCTTTGATTGCTGCCTTGTACTTGTAATTCCCCTGCTGCAGCATAGTGTACACGTTATAAGCTTGGCACTACACCCTTGAACATCCAGTGTAACCTTCTTTCTGTTTGTACCCTCTATCTGCCGTTCCTGCCCTCTATATGCCCACCCTGCCCTGTCTTCACCCGGGATAGCGGCGATTGCAGATTCTGCTGGCCGTGACCGACTTCGAGAGCGAGCCCACACCCGAGATGATGCAGCAGCTCGCAGCCAAGGTCAAGGTGCGTTCATTGCATGGAAATAACTTCTGCTTGAACAAATGCCCAAGGTGCGATGCCCTGGCGGCAGAATGGTGGTGCCAAAGTTGTGTTCAAAAGAGGATTATGGAAAGAATTTACAGGGCGATCAGGGAACATACTTTGAATGCTATTTCGTCGCCCGGCACTCCCTTACCCTCAACCCGCTTCCTCCAAAACCCACTCTCTCACCTCTTCTGCCCCCCACCAGGAGGAGGCAGGCACGCTGAGGCGCTTTGCGTCTTTTGAGACGTCTCAAAAGGCGCCCACTCTCTCTCACCTCTTGTGACCCCCACCAGGAGGAGGCAGGCACGCTGAGGCGCTTTGCGTCTTTTGAGACGTCTCAAAAGGCGCCCACTCTCTCTCACCTCTTGTGACCCCCACCAGGAGGAGGCAGGCACGCTGAGGCGCTTTGCGTCTTTTGAGACGTCTCAAAAGGCGCCCACTCTCTCTCACCTCTTGTGACCCCCACCAGGAGGAGGCAGGCACGCTGAGGCGCTTTGCGTCTTTTGAGACGTCTCAAAAGGCGCCCACTCTCTCTCACCTCTTGTGACCCCCACCAGGAGGAGGCAGGCACGCTGAGGCGCTTTGCGTCTTTTGAGACGTCTCAAAAGGCGCCCACTCTCTCTCACCTCTTGTGACCCCCACCAGGAGGAGGCAGGCACGCTGAGGCGCTTTGCGTCTTTTGAGACGTCTCAAAAGGCGCCCACTCTCTCTCACCTCTTGTGACCCCCACCAGGAGGAGGCAGGCACGCTGAGGCGCTTTGCGGAGTTGCTGCCGCAGGCCTTCTCAGCGGAGGCCAAGGTGGCGGAGGTGTTTGACCCGCTGGAGCGCGAGTTCAAGGAGCGCATGCAGGTGAGGTGGGGTGCAGTGCGGTGAGGGGGGGGACTTAGGGGGGGTGGGGCGAGGGGATACAAAAAGTGGGTGTGTGATGGCAGAGGCCAAGGTAGCAGAGGTGTTTGACCCGCCGGCCCGCTCGCGAGTTCAAGCAGAGCATGTAGGTGAAGAGGGGTGGGAGAAATGGGCACAGGTTTGTGGGGGTGGGGAAATGAGTAGGAGGTCCGGCTGAATGGGTGTGTGAGAGGCGCGCTGCCAAGGTGGCTGAGGTGTTTGAGCCGTTTTTTTAGTCGACTCATAAATCGACTCATCGCGGCGCACTGCCAAGGTGGCTGAGGTGTTTGAGCCACAGGAGCGCGAGCTCAAATATGTAGGTGTGTGGGAAAAGGGGAGGGAGGGGGGGAAGACAGGGGCAACAGATGAGGTAGGAAGGTGGTGGAGGTGTGTGTGTGGGTGGGTCGTTGAGGGATACTGGTGCGCTGTACTTTATGCATACTCGTTATTGTTCTCTCGTTAAATAAACATTGCACACACCTTCCCCAACTGGCAGGCTGTGTTTGAGACCCTTCAGGCTCGGCGAGCAGCGCTGGCTCGGCAGCGCAGTGAGCTGCATGGGCAGATCAGCGGGCGGTTTGCAAAACAAACCGGGCAGCAAGGCAAGGGCAAGCTGATGCGGGTCATTTCCCTGCAGGGACAGTAGTGTTTTTAGGAACTAAAGTAGGATATTGACTTGGCTTGTCCTTTTAACTGACAGTTGCTTTTGCGTTCGTTTGAATGAACATAGAGATTGTTACTCGACAGAGCTGTTTGTTCCTCGTTGCACTTGCCATTCAGCAAATACCATTCATTGGGTCAAATAACTAAGCGGTGAGATGTATATCCCATCGACCTTCGTCTTGGGATGAAGAACAAGACGTGTCGCCCAGCTTCAACACTCCGTTGATTGGCGTTTAGGGAGGGGAATAGCATCTATCTCGTTCAAGGTAAATGCGAAAGTTTTAGCAGCAATCTGAATTGGATTGACATGCCCATGTCCAGTTGTTTGTTTCTTAGTATATAGACGTGTCAAGCATGAGCACCACACGGGGAAGCTGGAAGCGAGTACTTTGTGTGAAGTGAATCTCCCCGATTTGAAACGGCCGATGAGCTGTCAGGGCATCAAAACGATGCTGTCTTCGCATCGCATCGCGTCGCCCACACTCGGTTCGTCCCTTACCTTCCCCCTCCCCTCTCCCCTCCCCCCGTTTCCAGTGGCCAGGCGAAACAGCTTCGTGCCAGTGAGACGTTTGGCACTCCTAGCACGTCATCGCACAGCCAACGCCTCGCCCGTCCCTCCTTCCCGCGAAACCCCTCTTTATAAGCACTCGCGACTTTGCCATTGGACGAAATTCGGTGTGCCACCCACAGTTCAATTCAGTGACCCCTTATTGTTTCGCCTTCGGCAAGTTCAAGGTCCAAGCCGAACTGAATCTTGCAACAAAGCTTTTGTGTAGCTTCAGCCGATTCTTTTCCCAACACCACAAGCTGTTGTCCATTCTGCACATTGATCCGTTGTGGTGATCTTATCCCCCCTTCGAGCACATATCCGTGTTGGAAAGTTAGATCTCAAGAGTCATTACGCAAGAATCATAAGCAGACATGGCGGAAAAAGCTCCACCCGTCGGAGCGCCTCCGGCTCAAGGTGACAAAGCTACCTGACATCAGTGTTCACGCCGTTCCGTCATTGTCATTAGCTCTCTAACTATTTTGTAATCTCTGTCCTTCAGGCTACCCACCACCACCTGGTGGCTATCCACCACCTCCTCAGGGATACCCGCCACCTCCTCAAGGTTACCCGCCTCAGGGTTATCCCCCTCCGGGTTATCCTCCCCAGGGATACCCTCCTCCTCCTCAGGGATACCCCCCTCCTCCGCAGGGATATCCCCCTCCTCCTCAGGGATATCCTCCGCAAGGGTATCCTCCGCATGGACATCCCCCTCCCCCACAACATCAGACAGTCATTGTGCAGAAGAGAGATGGCGATGGTGCTGATTGCTGCGCTGCTCTGTGAGTATTTTACGTTGTTGTGATGTTGACATTGCTTCGCCGACTTCGCTCATTACAGGCTCCAATCGTTCTCGACGAGGCCCCGCAATTGATCTCTCGCTTCTTCTTTTGCGTTCTTTTGTGCAGGATGGCTTGCCTTTGCTGTTGTTGCATGATGGACATGCTGTTTTAGAGATTCATTGTGGTGGACAAGCACCTCGGGATGTACAGATTGAGGAAGAGAGCTTCGTACCAGCATTTCTAACTCCATTTCTCATTGTTTATTACCGGTATCTTAGTTGTACTAGGAAGCGGTACTTCATTAACGGTTTTTATTCTTCCAGGACAGGTCTAGGTTATGGTTATATATTTTTTGGCACGATACCCTCTTTCAGGCTTCTCCTTCGTTACTGACGCAACAATGCAAATTACCTTTGAACTGATCCACAAGGCCCTTCCCCTAATCGCACCCCCTTCACTACCATCTCCTCACCCTCGCCTGCCCTTCTCCCAGCTCCCCTTCCTATCCCTGTCGCTACCTTACCTGGTGGGACCGTTGGACGCCAAACACTTCGAGAGAAAGGTTTTCACTTTTTTTTTTGGGTTGCGAAGCAAACTATTACGATCGATTTGGACAGATTTTTTTTTCACAATTTTATTTATTTAAAATAAAATGTGAAATAAAAAACCAGGTCCACTAATTGCTAGCTACGTAACTAGTAGGACGTGCTATCTAGTTAAATTATAATATTGTCGTGGTGAATTTTGGAACACAATTATGTTGTTAGTATGCTTTACGATGTTGTACTTTACTACCGTGTAATATGCATATGATATGAAGTGATGATTATAGTGATTGGTGAATGTAAATGCTACGATCAGAGAATGATCGCTAACCAGGATCTACTCGGGAAGGTTCGCACACAGGGAAAAGTTGGTTGGTGGGCCCGTGATCTCAATAGCAGAGTGAATGTAAATGCTTGAGATGATTAAAACATGCAAATACAGCGAGTATAAATATGAGTACAGGGAAGACGAAACGACCTAGCTAGTCATGTACTCTAAGGGGTACATTCCCTTATTCAAATACATTTAACCGTGCGGCGCGTACAGTTTCGTAACTGTTCCCGCCAAGAACATCCTGCCTGCAGCTGTCCGATGCCGTCTGCCTCCGACGGTCCAGATGCGTCCCAACTGTCTGACACTTCGAGTCAAACTCCAACTGTCTGACGGTTCGCTTTCTTGCTTCGATACTGCGTGCTTCTCTTTGCTGCGGTGAGGAGTGCTCAGTAACAATTACATGTTACTATTCGTAACACCCCCCTTCACTCCTGGCCGTAGCTCGATTTGACCTGTTTGACCACGCCGCTGAGTTCGGAGCAGTGCTGATACTGCTGGCGTGGCAGTCGCTTCGTCAGGAAGTCTGCTGCCATGTCACCGGTCGGGCAATAGGTCAAGTTGACCTTGCCCTTGTCCACTTCGTCCTTCACGAAGAAATATCGCAGCGCAATGTGCTTGGTGCGATTGACGAAACCGGGTTTGTTCGCGATGCGAATCGCGCTCTGGTTGTCGCAGTGAAGTCGAAAGGTTGGCGAAGTTGGAATTTTCGCCTCCTGCAGGAGTTCCTGTAGGTAGAGGCCTTCGCGAACTGCTGCGGTTGCTGCGATGAATTCTGCTTCGGCTGATGACAGGGCAACCAGCTCCTGTTTCTGTGAGTTCCAGGAGATTGGCCCCGTTGGTTCGAGTCGGAACAGGAAGCCGGTCCTGGACCGTCGATTGTCGGGATCTGCTGCATGATCGGCATCCACATAGCCGACGAGATTGAAGGATGGGGTTGGTGCAGTTGAGTAGCACAGCCCGATCTTGGGCGTTGAAACGAAAAATTGCAAAGCGCGCTGCAGGTCCAGGTGATTTTCAGCCGTTGGTTTCCGTGAGTGCTGGGCGAGCTGACTTGCGATGTAGGAGAGGTCTGGCCTGCAGGTGACAGAGGCGAAGAGAAGGCATCCCAGCTGCTGCTGGTAAGTCTGAATTCCAGCAGGGGACAGGGCTTTGTTGTCAGGTTTGTGGTTCGGTCCGGAGGTTCGATAGGGAGTCGAGAGGGGTCCGGATGAAATCTTGAACCGCTTCCCTAACTCCTCTGCGTACTTAGCTGCTGACAGATGAATGGCTTCAGGCGCGTAGGAGATGTTGAGGCCTAGGAACTGCTTCACCTCGTAGTTGCACGTGATGTCGACGCGCCCCGCCAAGGCCTTCTCGAACTGTTCGAGCAGCTCGTTGTTTGAGCCCGTGTAGAGCAAGTCGTCGACGTAGACCGTGAGGAGGATGTATTCCCCGCGGAAGTCGCGGCGGTACATCCCTAGGTCGTGGGGCATCTGCTTGAACCCGATTTCAAGCAAGATGTTGTGCAAGTACTGCTGCCACAGTCTTGGAGCCTGCTTGATGCCGTACAGTGACTTGCGCAGCTGGCATACCCGCGAGTCACTTTCGCCATAGGTGTGTGGCTGCTCCACGTAAATCACAGCGTCCACTAACGCGTATAGGAACGCGTTTTTGACATCGATCTGGCGGAGTGGCAGGTGCCTTGCAGCTGCGATAGCGAGTAAGATGCGGACGGAGGTGTGGCGACTGACGGGGGCGAATGTCTGGTCGAAATCGATCCCATGCCTCTGGTCATAGCCGCGAACCACCCATCGTGCCTTGAAGCGCTCAATCGTTCCGTCAGCTGCGGTCTTCACGCGAAAGACCCACTTCCCTGAAAGGATTCTTGCACCTTTGATTGCTGCGCGGTCGACGAGCACCCAGGTGTCGCGTGACTCTAGTGCCTTGATTTCCGCATTCATTGCCTCACGCCATTCTTTGCTGTGTGGTCCAGAGAGAGCCTCGCGCGGGTTTCGGGGCTCGATGATGCGCGGCGCTTTCGAGGTAGCAGCGTGAAGCCCGAGCAGTTGCAGCCCCGAAACGGTGCTGTCGTGGCGGCGTTGCGGGATGACTTCCTGCACGTCGTCGTCATCACTTTCTGGTTCAGGTGGTGCTGGTGGTTCTGCGCCTCTGCCGCTTCCGCCTGTTCCTGTTCCGCCCATTCCTCCTCCTGAGGAATCATCGTCGTCGTCGTCGCTGCTGTGCCGATCCTCCCATGCGAACTCGGCCCTGGTGTCTTGCTCCAGGAGTGCTGCAGCGGCTTCGTCTTCGGGCGTTGCGTAGCTGTGTCCGTTGTTCGCGTAGACGCGATCTGCGTTTCTCTGTTCGTCGTCGCGGAACTGGTCGAGGAAGAGACGCTCGTAGAAAATTACGTCGCGAGCGTGGGCGGTTTTCTGACTGAGGAGGTCCAGCACGATCCACGCCTTGTGCTCGTGGCTAATGCCGAGGTGAATTCCCCAGCGCGCGCGACTGGTGAATTTGCCGATGGTTGATGTCGGCGGTCAATACTGCACCATGCACCCCCAGACGCGCAGCATCGATGTGTCCCCCTTTGTCCCAGTCCACTTGACGTGCGGGGACAGGTTGCCGGTAATTGCGGTGGTCGAAAGCAGGTTGTGCACCCGCACGGCGTGGTGCATCGCGTAAGTCCAGTAGATCGGCGGCAGCTTTGATTGCTTCATCAGCGCGCGCACCTTCGTCATCAGCGTGCGGTTCGTCCGCTCAGCTACGCCCTGTTGCTGGTGTGCGTAGGGGAGGGAGATGTGATGCTCGATCCCCTTTTGCGTCAGGAATGTCTGCATCTGATTGCTCCTGAATTCTGCCGCGCCGTCGGACTGCCAGATCTTGAGCTTCTTTCCAGATTGCCGCTCCGCATGTGCTAGCCAGAGGCGGAACACCTCGTAGGCTCTGTCGCGCGTCTCCACGTTCACGACCCATACATAGCGTGTTCCTGCGTCGATGAAGGTAAGCGTGTAGAGTTCGTCTTCGATTCCGCAATGCCCCACGTTCAGGAAATCGCTGTACACCTTGTGCAGCTTGGGGTATCGGTTGGTTCCAGGTTCAAGCAGTGGGAACGGTTGGTGGCTCAGCGCAGCTTCGGGGCAGACGGTGCAGTTGCGCGGATGTGTCGCGCCACTCACTTCGGAGCCATCAGGGCGCAGGAGTGCGCCAGGAGCGAAGACGCCAGCGTCGATGCAGTTTTTGAGCGTCGCGCGGGAAGGGTGTCCGAGGCGCTGGTGCCAGAGTGCATCATCAGCGCGAAAGCCGGAGGTGCGCATATAGCGCGCGCGCGCTTCCTCGGGGTCTTCGTCAGGTACAGGAGCAGGTTCTGCTGCTACTTCTTCTGCTTCTTCTTCTTCTGCCGCGGTGGTCAGCATCAGCGCCAGGAACTCTCTGTCGCGAATCTCAGAGAGTGGGATGTTGGTCCCAGGGATGGTTCCAGGGACGAGGGTAGGTTGGCGTGGTTCAGGGGCAGGTCCGTAGATAGTGCGACGCGGGGTTGACGGCTCGTTGCCCCAGGTAATGGTGTCCCACGGGTCGCGATGCGGGGGAATGTCTGCAGGAGGTGGTGCGAGGGGAATGCGGCGCGGGGGACGACCGAGAGGAACGACTGCAGGTGCTGCTTCGGTCTCCGCGGCTTCTTCCTCCCCCTCCCTTCGTTCTTCGCGGGAAGTGCCCCAGCCGCTATTGTCGGCGCCAGATGCGGCGCCCCATCCGCCGGTTGCGGTTGCCCAGGTTCCGCCTGTGTTGCCCCAGTCGCCAGCCTCAGTCGTTCCTTGTCCGCCGACGCTTCCCCACCCCCCTTCATTGGTGGCGCTTTCTTCAGCTTCGGCGCCCCATGCGGCGCAAGCGAACGTTCCGCGTGCCTCGGTGAGGCTTTGTTGGCGAAGCTCCTCTGCTTCGCGGCGCGCCAGTTCTTCCTCCTGTTCCACGGTGTGAGCTTCGCCGTGGGGTCGCGCCAATGTGGGTAGATCTGCAGAAAATCCTCGCGAGTGTAGGGGCGTGCCAAGCCACGCGCATCGAAGGTACCGACACCAGTTCCACGAAGCATCCCTCGAAGATGTTGAGAAGGGGGACCTGTGAGGGGGTGCTCGGGTGTGCCGAACACGCCATGTGTGGTGACTTCGAGTTCGAGTTGCGACATTCCTTCATCGGGGGGCGCGTTGCGCTCTGCTTCCGCGATGGCGGCGAGTCCGCGGCCTACGATTGCGCTCGTCGAGGTCGTTGGCGTGTGACAGTCTCTGCAGATTCCATCTGGATCGGGGTTGTGAAGTG